AATTATATACGGAATATATTTTATTTTTAATTAAAAATAAATATAATTAGTAATCATTTTTAAATTTTTTTATTTTTTTAATTTAAAAAATACTGACATAATATCTGTTATTTTTAATTAAAATAAATTTCATTAATAATCTTTTTTAAATGTAAGTATTTTTTTTGTTCAAAAAATGTTTAGGGACTTTATCGTTCAAAATATGAATGTTCATTGGTTTTTTTCCATTAATTTACTACGCTAATTAGTTTTATAGGTTATAAGAATATATATAACAAGTTTTAGAAAGTCCAATGAGTTGTTTAACAGGTTTTGGAATGTCCAAAGACTTATTTGTTCCAAAAAATTATCCAAAAACTTAATCATTCAAAACATTAAAGTCCATTGAATTTTTTAGACTTTTCCCTTATAAATAAAATAAAAACCTGGTAGAAGACATGTTGGCTAGCTAATAGGCTTGGGCCACACAATTTTATATACTAAATACATTCTACTTGTAAAACTTAACAACGTCTTTAACTCGAAATTAAAAACATAAAAATAAAGGTGTTTTTATCTTCAATCTAACACTAAAACATTAAAAAAGTAGATATAAAAAATGTTGGTCTTTACATTTAAAGGCTAATAAAATAAACCTGTGATGTAATTTCTCCAGAGTTCTTATTCTACCCTTAACCAAAGCATAAAATGGCTTTTTTTTTGGGCTTTCTATCAAGGGGCTGTTCATCAAATCTTGTATGAATAAATTTGTCTGTCTAGATAAAAATGTATGATTATTTACTCTCTTTTTTGAATCAACAATCTAAATGATAAAAATAACTGTTTTATCATTAAGTTCACCAGATACATGGTTTGCATCTCTCATCATACTAAACATAAACTTCAACACAATTGCTTTAACTCAATCACGATCAATTTTGTTATTGCGTACATTGCCTATTATCAATTTTTATAAACAGAAAATATAGATCTGTCAATGAAATTTTTCTTTCTTTAATATTTTCTGTCTAGAATTGAGTTTCGTGAATATGTTATTGGCTTCAATATCAAAAAACCCAAGTTACTGAAATTGTTGTTCTTCGGATGAGGCTCGATTAGGGTTGGGGAGAGAGGAACAAAGAAGATAAATAAACAAAACAAAAAGATTAATGACCAAACACAGGGTTTCGATTAGAGTTGAGAAGAAGGTTTTGCTTTTAGGTGTTGTTCTCGGTGATGCAACACCGAGAATAAGAGTGTGGAGTTGAAGGGGTATAATTGTCTATTTTTTTGGCTTAAGTGGGACAAAAGAGCCTCACCACACTCTCTGAATAAACCCATTATTTTATCATTAAGCCGTAAGCAAGCATCCATCCATGGTTGTGTGAATAAGTGAAAATATTCATTAAGTTCATTAGTCAAAAGTAAACACCCGCTAAGTTCCGTAAGGATAAAACTGTCTGTATGAATTAATCTGTCTGTGTTAGACTGAGAAGGTTTTTGTTTGAATTTTTTTTTCATATATGAAATAAGTGTGTTTCTTAATTAAGAGGAACAATTTTTTTTTTAAAAAAACTTGGTTTTCTTCACAAAACTCCTCCCCCATAAGTTTTTCTATATTATTAAGTTAGTACCAAACAATCATATATAGTTAACTGAATAACCAATGAGTTTCATTAAGCTCGTTAAATTGTTCACAAAACAAGCCTTAGGTTGCGTTCTCAAATTTAAGGAGAGAATAAAATAATATTTTGTATTCTTAAACATAATATAAAATTAATAAAGAAAAATCTTTATATTTGTTTTTTTTTAAACTTTTTTCTTATTTTGTTATTATGGATAGTTTTGAGTTTTGTAATTACTGAGTGGCCGTTTACTAAACACTTACTTGGTAAGTGTTTAACGCATAAATTTCCTCATTGGATGAACATGAAAAGGGTCAAGAATCTTACCGGATAAAAGCGATGAGAAGGATGGAGAGTCTTACCCGGTAAGTGAGGATATCGACTCTTATCCAGGTAAACGTTTACCCAGTAAATTGTTGTATTTAATATGTTTTGATATACTAAAATCTTATTCATCAAAATAAATTATAATGTTGACTCTTATTGATAAGCGTTTACCGGGTAAGCATTTGGGTAAACGGCCTCCAAAGATTCCTTCCCACATTTAGAGAAAAGTTATAGAACAAAAGTTTTCGTTTATTTTTTCTTCCGATTACTCTCCTTTTTCCTCTAAAAAAGTTTGAAGAACCTTTCGAGAACGTGGGTCTTTTTCATTTTCCTTTTATTGTTTCAGTTCGAGAACACAACGTTAAGGAGAGTCTCGTACAACGGGTCTAGAGAAAACTGAAAAAGAATTGACTAGACATGCTACATGGACAAAAGTGAGGTAGTTGAGTGAAAAATCATGGAGGACAGATTAATGGAATGCTTCATGCATCAGGAATGTAAAAAATAGATCTTGATATTGATGTGTACAAGTAAAAAATCAATAGGTAAAAATGCAATTAACAACACTTAAAAGAACAATTAGCCTACCACAAGTTTCACAAGGTGATGACTGATTGGTTTGAGCTTGAGTTCCAAAGGTCAAAAATGACCGAAGGTCCCAGGTTCAAATCCAAGGAAGAATAAACATCCTCTTATGGCCATGGAGGTTCAAATACGGTGACTCCGGACTACCCGCAAAACAGGTGGTCGTCTTGGGATTAGTCGACTCGTATAGCAAATTGTATATCCATGTTAATAAAAAAAAACACGACTTAGGAAAAAAAATACCTGTGTCAAATCAATATCATAAAATCCAATAACAAAAAATAATTTAATTTTGAAAAAATAATAATGAAAAAAAATAATAATAACGGATTATTTGGTAATCATGAACAACAAGAGTATCTGCTTCGATCTTGTTTGGATCCAGCATCACCATTGTTTGCAAGGGTTACCCTGTTTACAGATAACTCGGCTTTATACGAATCCGAATTCAAAACTTTCCGACTAACATTGTTATAGATCTCCTTAATCACCATCTCGAAAGCCATTTTGACGTTTGTTGAATCGAGTGCCGACGTTTCCATGAAGAACAATCCATTTTTCTCTGCAAGTTTTTTGCCATCTTCCACCGATACACCCCTGATGTTGTCCAAATCGCATTTGTTTCCGACCAACATTCTTGCCACCGTTGTCTCCGAATGAGCTGCATAATAGATCATTGATGAACAAATGTTAAGATATTACAGAAAAATTGGATAGAAAGTTGTTAGGAAACGTTTAGTTTGAAATTGGATAGAAAGTTGTTCAGGATTTGAACAGGAACATGCTCTCGAAATGGATCCAATCAGAGGGTTTTTTTTTTAATGGAATTAGATCACATCAGAACACAGATTCATGATCAATGGAGTTCGAATTCAGTTAATCACGTTTTTCAAAAAGTTGCATGCATCTGGATCTACCAAATAACGATTCATATGAAGTGATCTAAATCATATAATTAACGAATTAACACAAAGCAAATTGAGATCAGATCGTTAATTGAACTCACTATTGAGTTCCTCGAGCCACCGGGAAACACTATCGAATGTGGTGCCGCGGGAGATATCATAAACAATTAGGGCGCCAACGGCGCCGCGGTAGTAAGCGGAGGTGACGGCACGGAAGCGTTCCTGACCTGCAGTATCCCAAATCTGAGCCTTAACCTCCTTACCGTCGATTTCCATGCTCTGAGTTTGAAACTCAACTCCGATGGTGGCCTTGGAGTGCATATTGAACTCATTCCGAGCGTATCGAGATAACAGATTTGATTTTCCGACCGCCGAGTCTCCGATGATGACGACTTTGAACAAATACTCCTCTCCTTCATCGTCCGATGAATCCATAGTTTAATCGGATGAAGAATTTGAAGCAAGATCTGGGGTTTAACAAATGATTAGGTGATGAATGTAGTTGGGAATTGGGAAGATGGACAGCGAGAAGCGGTTGAAGAACAGACTGGCAGAGTTGCAGAGACAGAGGTGTGCTTTATTAGTGGATCCCACCTTTGGCCGCCAAATTACTTTGAAAATTAACACTCCGCCGTAACTTTTTTTTTTAAATCGAAATGCGTGGCTCCCACCATGGTTTTTATAAGACTTTTTTCCCACTATTTGTTGGATCTAATTAATTTTTTAATATCAATAATAATTATAAAATAAGAGGCATGGTAGCAACTAACAAGTAAGGGTGTTTATGGATTAAGTTAATCGAGTTGAAGACATTTGAACAATTTAATTTAATGTTTGCGGTTTGGAAAAATCTTAACCCAACCCAAAACAAAGTGCAACCCAACCCAAGCCGTACGAGTTGGTCGGGTTGATACTTTGGTATATTAAAATATTCTTCTAATCTTGAATATATTATTTCTCTACTCATAATTTCTTTTTCATCATCAACCATTTGATACAACCTATCTATATTTTTTACGTATATCACATTCAGTTAATTTTCTCAATTTATATATATATTCACAGTTACTGAACATATATATGGATAGTTATATAGAGATATGAATAGATTGAAAATATGTGTATATGAAAAACATACATGAAAGTGTAATTGTCTAATATATATATTAATAGAAATTCAACAATCATATTAAAACCAAGAAATAAAATGATATCGGGTTCATCGGGTTGGGTTGAGTTCAAATAATAGTAACTCAATGCCTACGGTTTGACAATTTTACAACTCGATTAGACATTGGGTTGCTTCGGGTTGGGTTATTTCGCATTGGGTTGGGTTGATCGGGTTGGCTGGGTTTTTGAGCACCTCTAGTAGCAAGTTCATTCCTATTGAGTAAGACATTGTTTGGTAGTAGCTGAATAATTTGGTGCATGATTAAGAGGCTCTCATGATATAGTACAAAATGACATATATATATGTTTGGTAATTGTTTATAATGAAATTAGGGTGTTTGATGGTTAAGGAAGAGTCGGGATATAAAATCAGAGGGTTTTAGAACTAGTAAGAGACAAACTTTTTTTTGTCAAACAAGATTTACCTCTTAACTATTCAGATGTCTCTTAATGAAACTATTAACCACTAAGAGCCTTCTATATGATTTTTTTTTATCAAAAGCAATATACTTTTGTGGTTACTAATGATTATTAAGTTACAAATCAAATAAAATGTGTGATCATTTCGAATTTACGGCGTGCATAAATCCATGATCGTTCTTAAACATGTTAAATGTGTGATTTTGAACAGAGCTTCCAAAAAAATTAGGGTCCAATTTTACATTGTTTAAGGTCGTTTATTAATGAATGTAGAACTGTATCCCAGTTCGGCGCCTCTCTAATTTCTATCACAAGACAAAAGTATTTTGCTTCATCATCACCTCTGCATCATGTATATATGTATCTTTTTTATCTCATTTTGCAATGTAAAATGAAAGCTTTAGGTGTAACAGGACCTTTAAAAAGATTGAGATGTCCTTGCATAAATCGTAAACCGTGCATTAGTGAGACTAATAAATGTTTATCAAAATTTGTGGATGAGTGTTTACTAGGGTAAAAGGTTTGACTGAAGTAAGCAATCTAACTGCAGTAAAAATTGACTGAAAAAATGTTATTTGCCAAATCGTTTGTATTAAATTGATAATTGAATAAAAATGATTATTATACCCCTATTTGAATGTAGGGTTGGAGTCGGTGAGAAAAGAAGTTACACTGCGAATGGGTCTCCATCATTGGATCAATGCTAATTGAAGATTAACACTAATGAGATGCATCAAGATGTATCAGATCAATTCCCTTTTAAAATATAATTCATAGGTGAGCATGAGATTAAAAATGATCATGAATAGAGATCCGTTTTTATACTTCTCATTTTAACTCATTTTCTCACACGATCATTCGTCTTTCAAAACAATACCATATTTTTATTTGCTTCCCATAAATATTTTACACATATTTTCAATTTTGTATTCTTATAAAAATATCCTAAAGGCAATGCTATTTGTGGTGAAAGATTGTGTAAGAAGAAGAGTTAAGTTAAGAAGAGTAAAAACTGATCTGGATTCTTGATCACCTTTTTACTCAAACCCACCCATAAATCGCATTTGATACGAAGATCGATCTGGTGCATCTCGACGAATCTCATCCTAATGTGCATTCAAAAATGAAGTTCTTACGCTTCTCATCATAATTATCCTTCTCACTGGAACCCAACCCTGTTATTTGTAACCCTTTTAATGTCAAGCATGGAGTCAAGTCACGCATTTGAAATATAAATAGTGGATTTTAATGTTGATATGTGTAAAAAAGAAAATACTAAATAGAAATGCATTAAACACACCTTTTATTAATTCTAAACTAAATAACATGACAACACATACCTTCAAACACCAATCATAGCCTAACAAAACATCACTTCAAAACCATTCAAAAATTGACCACACACCCATCAAAACCATCTACTAACTTCAGAATTTCTACATTTAAAATGAGATATTTATCTACAGTTAGTTACATGGATTAAAATATAAAGTTTTAATAAGTTGTATTTATATATAATTTATTTGTAATTTTGAATTACAAGTAATATGTATTGATAAACAGTACTTCATACATAAAAATGATTTTTATTTTTATTTTATCAAATGCTTTATAATACAGTATAGATATAAAATATTTTAATAACATAATCAACGTTGTAATCTCTAAAATAAAAAAGTCGTTGAAGATGAAGATACTTTTTTAAGGATTTTAAATTTCAGCTCGAAAAACTTGTGGAGAATATTCTTAGATGTCACGTCCAAGAAGAAGGGATAAAGAAGACGTGGCCATTAGGGGAGGGGCACATACGAAACATTTTGTCCCTAACTATAATCAGATCGGATAATAAAAGACAGTAAGATAGTAAACAATCCCTAAATGGAGAGAATTCATAAACCGAAACCATTGTTTTTAATACCTTATAATGACTATTAACGATACTGAATATACACGAATCTTACATAGATCTCAGATAAAAACAAGTAAACTTTAAACATGGGTAAAAAACAAATTGAGATTTTCAGGTATATAATATTAAATGAGTTTTTAATTAAATCCATGACATTTTTATTAATATAAAACCATATTTTTTCTTTAATATGCTAATAGGTAATAAATTTAATCAAAAACTACTTTAATGAGAACTGTCTGGTTGTATGTCACATTGCATCTATATTAATTTTTTTTTTATTAACCTGGATATCCAATCCGTTATGTGAGCCGATTAATCTCATATCGATCATCTGCTTTACAGATAGCCCATAGTCACCGCATTTGAACATCCGTCGCCACAAGGTGATTTTTATTCCTCATTGGATTTAAACTTGGGAACTCATGGTACTTTTTGACATTTGGAGTCAAACTCAAACCAATTAGGCATCATCCTTGTAATTAAAATGCATTAAATACAATTATATAAATTGGACTATTAAAATAATAACCGAAGTTTTAATAAAATAATCTAGAATATTTTATCGATTCAAATACATTTGCAGTAATTGAGATAAAATATGTCTTGTATTTTTAATACTAGAAAGACGATTGCGTAATGCAACGAGATATATTTCGATTTCAATGTTTTTTTTTGTTTTTTTGGTCTCTATCGATGTTATAATATGAATTTATGTGATTTTAATCAAATAATAATGTTATAAAAATAAAAAATATATATAAAAGGTCTTTTTTTGTGTGTATTTTTTTAATTTATTTTTTATTATAATTTAATTTATGTTTCATAACGAAGTAATTTATTTTTGATTTAATAATATAATTTTTATAAAGACAATAACTAAGTATTTTGTTAGAACTTAATAATTATCCTAATTATATTTTAGATTTTATATTTAAAATAAAAAATTTATCTTGTATTTAATTATATTTATCTACAGTTAATTACACGAATTCAAACAATGAAGCTTAATAAGTTATACTTATGAACAATTTATTTATAATAATAAATTTTAAGTAATATATATCAATAAACGGTACTTCAAATATAAAATATGATTTTTAAGAGTTTTTATCAAATATTTTATAATATAGTATATATTCTTGTATAAATAAATTAAAATTAAAACGAGAGGACCCGCCTACACATGCTACCCATTTTTCTTCTTCGGTGATACATTAAATACCCATGACACGTGGCTACAATTCATGGCTCGTTTATATATTTATCTCTTTATCATTAATATTTATTTTGAAGAGATTAAATTATTTAACTTATGGTCATATGTTAGTGTTGTTGTAATGTATGGTGTATTTTGAAGAAAAATATATCAATGTTAATATCAAATCAATTATTTAAAAGTTTTTATTTTTTATGTAGTTTCTTTAATTTATTTTTTATTATAATTTAATTTAAGTTTAATAATGAAATAATTTATTTTTGGTTTAATAATATAATATTTTATAAAGATAATAATTAAGTATTCTGTTAGAACTCAATGATTATCCTAATTATATTTTAGATTTTTTATATTTAAAATGAGATGTTTATCATGTATTTAATTATGTTTATCTGCAGTTAGTTACACGAATTCAGATATGGAGCTTTAATAACTTGTACTTACGCACAATCTACTTGTAATATTAAGTTTTAAGTAATATTTATTAATAAACAGTACTTTACGCATAAAAATTGGTTTTTAAGAGTTTTTGTTAAATGTTTTATAATATAGTATAGAAAATAAAAAAGTATTAGCAGAATATATTTGTGATAACCACAAGAGTTGTTGCGTAGTGGTTGACGTCCCGAGGGGTGTGGTGGAATATCTTATTTGCTCAATGTTTGATTCTAGACGTACACAACAATTATGTCCATTGAGTCCATATATAATATGAAACACCTTTTAAAAAATATATATATATACTCGTGATAGAAATTTTAAAAACCAAGTTTATTTTCTTTTTGTCAACATAATATATATTCGTTTAACGATTCAAATAGAATGAAAAATAAAGACTTGCTTTTGTTTTGTTCCAAGTGCCGTTTGGACCTGGCTCCAACAAGTTAGATATATATATATATATATATATATATATATATATATATATATATATATATATATATATATAGTTTATATATAACTAGGGTGGTAAACAAACCGAACGTTCAGCAAATCGTTTGACGGGAAGTTTGTTTATGTTCGTTATTTAATAAAAGAATGGACATGAACAAATCTTTTTGTTCGTTTAGTTAAACGAACGAACATGAACAAAAGTCTTGTTCGTTCATTTATGTTTGTGAACATTCTTTCATTTACCGTTCGTTTACGTTCGTTTATATATTAAATTTAATATATAATTCTTTTGTTTATTACTTTAATTCAAATAATATTTATTTATGTTCGTTTATGTCCATTTGTTTAGCATGTTAATGAACGAACATAAACGAGCACGAACACGAACACACTTGATTTCTAAACGAACGAACACGAACTTGATTTCTAAACGAACGAACACGAACACAAAGATTTTCGTTTGTTTAACATTCGTGTTCGTTCGTTTGTTCCGTTAGTTAAACAAACGAACATGAACAAGTCTCTATTCGTGTTCGTTCGGTTCGTTTACAACCCTATATATAACTTGTTAATATTTAGTAATACATTGATATAATTTGTTTAATTAAATATATTTAAGATAATTTAAATTTAGAAAATATAAGTATGTAAAATTTATTAGTTGGTTATAGTTTATTTTTTAAAATTAAAAGAAGTCATATATCTATACTATATTATAAAGTATTTGACAAAAACTCTTAAAAACCACTTTTTATGTGTAAAATACTGTTTATTAATGCATATTACTTAAAACTCAAGATTGCAAGYAGATTGTGCATAAGTACAACTTATTAAAGCTCTATATCTGAATTCGTGTAACTAACTGCAGATAAACATAATCAAATACAGGATAAACATCTCATTTTAAATATAAAAAAAATCTAAAATATAATTAGGATAATCATTGAATTTAACATAATACTTAAATATTATCTTTATAAAATTTATAATATTAAACCAAAAATAAATTATTTCATTATTAAACTTAAATTAAATTATAATAAAAGAATAAATTCAAGAAATTACATAAAAAATAGGACTTTTAAATAGTTGATTTAATACTTATTTCGCTTATTTTAAAAAAAATTATAATATTTCATTCAAAAATAAAAACATTTTATTTTTTCTCAAAACCACATAAAATCGCATTATAACATCGATAGAGCCAAAATATAAAACGAAACATTAAAATCAAGATATATCTCGCTGCATTGCGCGAGTATCATTCTAGTATTTTATAACAACTTTTAATCTTAAATGTTAATCATCTTAATTGTTAAATATTTGTATCAATAACTACAAAGGATGGTGCATGATTGGTTTGAGTTTGAACTCTAAAGTTCAAAAGTGTTTGTAGGTCCCAGGTTCGAATCCAAGAAGAAATAAAAATTCTCTTGTAGCCATGGAGGTTAATGTGGTGACTCGCTTTGGGATTAATCGGCTTGCATAACGGGTCGGATATCCAGGTTTAAAAAAAAATATTTGTATCAATAGGCTTAGGGGTCGTTTACTAAACATTTACTTGACAAGTGCTTACCGGATAAATTTTTCATTGGATGAACATGAGAAGTGCCAAGAATCTTAATGGGTAAAAGCGATGAGAAGGATGACGATTCTTATCCGATAAGTGAGGATGACGATTTTTACCCAGGTAAGCGTTAACCCAATAAATTGTTGCATTCGATATATTTTGATGTACTAAAATCTTACACATCAAAATAAATTATAATGTTGACTCGTATCAGTAAACGCTTACCGATCAAACATTTGGATAAACGGCCCCTTAGTAAAATAAGTTAAAGATTAACGTTCTACAAGGTTTTTCTAGGAGTTTAGTGAAATATTTTGTAATATAATGAAGATATTTTTATTACGAGTAAATTACAATTTTGGTCCCTTTGGTTTACAACCAATTACGAAAAATGCCCCTAAACTTCACCAAGTATAGTAATAGTCATTGTGGTTTGTATTTTGTTCTTGAAAAGGATCCTTCAATTTAACTCTGTTAAATTGTGTTCGTTAGTCGAGGGTCATTTTAGCTTTTTATGTCTTTTCCAACACGGCCATTGTTAACAAGAAGAAAAACAAGAAACCTAACGAACAAACCCATACAAACGTAAAGCAATTCTGGTGTTAGACATGTGTTAAAAAATTGAAAACAAGTGCATCGATTGTGGATAGTTCACATCATGTAGAGGTTTTGTTGAATACGTCTGGAAGAGTATTCAGGGATGCTAGTGACAACGAACGCGAATGGGGGGAGGAGATGGAGGGTGAACTCCATGATTTTCGTCAAAACTGTACCTTGATTTCACGATTTCAGCCCCAGATTTCTAGTTTCAGTCCGAACATGTGCTAAGGAAACAAATGTACAGCCAAATCTTTTAGATTTTTGAACTCTGAATATTTCATACAATGAGTTTGATGGTCGTTTGCCATCTCAGTCGTCCAATTGTAGCAGGTTGTTGAAAGGTCATTTCATTCCACCTCATTGATGAATCCAAACCGCCATCTGGCCTTTTTTTTAATAATATGATATAAACATATTATACAATATAACATAGAAATGATATAATCTAACATGCTTTCAGTTTTTAATAGGAAAACTAAAAAAATGGCTAAAATGCCTCTCAACTAATGTCAGTTTAACTAACGATGTTAAGGAAAGCGACCACTTTCAAAACAAAATACAAACCACAACGACTATTTTTATACTGAAGGGTTGTTTGGTTCAACTTGAGAATGAAAATAAAAATAACAGATAATTTTTAGAGGAATGAACTCATCATATTATATATAATCAAACAGTTTCTTTTATTATTATATTCTCGTTAATTACACCAAAATTGTAGGTTACTCTTTTAATTATAAAAAAATGAAAAGGGAATTAGGAAAAAGTCAAAAGTCAGAAGGATGGTAAACTAAATACACCTGGTCAAAATTGTTGACTGTAGCCGACGCAGATTGTCAACGACTCTTTTACTGACCCGACTAGACCCGATTATCACAACGTTAATCTGCCCAATGTGTTTTTGTTTTTGTTTTTGTTTTTTTTGAGGAAAACCATCCACCAATAATTCAAACCTACTCCCAAATTTGAGGTAATTCTAGCTTCTTCACCTATCTAATCGGTTACTGGTCAACACTCTACACCCGATTAACTGGGGGTTGCTCAAGTTTCGAAATCTCAAGTTGGTATTCAATTCACGCGTTTCTGGTCTTCAATCGAATTGGGTTTCGTCTTTGAATCGGGTTCTACTTGTAGTTAGAAATCGAGAATCAAGAATTTTGTTGATTGGTTGATAATTTGATGGACTATTCGGAGAAGCCTATTGAGCTGAGAGCTTTTGATTCTTTAGGATTAGGGTTTGATTTCGCTAGCGATTTCAGGTTGAAGTTTGCAAAGGCGTGTCCGGAGGGTGGTCGGTTGGTGGAACTAGATGAGTCGAGGAAGAGGGACATCGTTCTACCTGGAGGTGGTGCCACCATTTCTGGGGTTTCTGAGGACATTCATTGTGATAAAGGAGATCATGTTCGCTTTAAATCGGATGTTTTGGAGTTCAATCAGGTGATGATTTGTTTGTTTTAACCGCCATTCTCTGTTTCTGACTCACAATCAATCAAATTTTCTTTTCTTTCATGTCCATTCAAGATTTGTATTCTGATTTTTTGGTCACTTTTGCTCTCTCCGTTAGATATCATTTCTGTTGTCTCTTGACCAACCATTCTGCCTCTGAACTGAACATTATAGTTGGCAAGAATCTTTGAACATGGATAAAAGTTAATTAAGTTCTTATGTAAGTTTATGTTTCCTCTGCAATTTGTTGGATGTAACATCCCGGCCAACAGTACAAGATTCACATGGACTCGCGGTTTTTAAAATGCCTCTGATAGAGGATTAGGGTGACCTTTGTTCCAATCCCGACCGATGTTGGATCTCACAAATCACAATCCACCCCCTCAAGGAGCCTAGAGTCCTTGTTGGCATGCCGGTCAATTCCCAGCTCTGATACCGTTTGTTGCAGCTTGGCTAAATGTACAAGATATTGTCCGCTATATCCACAGCTGGACGGACGGGTTCTAAAACAGAGAGTTCAGGTGTGGTTAAAGAGGACAATATCTGATACTGTTGGCCGGAGATGTTACAGTTTCAATAAATTCTTGTTTGCAATCAGATTTCATATCAATCCCCTTACTTTCTTTTTCATAAGTAAATGTAGATACTTCTACCCATGCTCTTAAAATGTTCGATTGTGGTTTCTATGAAAGATGACTCATATTTCACGCTAACTAGATTTTATTTCTTTATTTTTCAATAACTTCCTCTTGTAGATGTCAGAATTGCTTAATCAAAAAGCTTCGGTACAAGGAAAAGTGCCTTCGGGCTACTTCAATGCATTATTTGATCTAAGTGGAGCATGGTTAAATGATGTTGCAGATGCCAAACATCTTGCTTTTGATGGCTACTTTATCTCCCTGTACTATTTGCACCTTACAGCATCCCCATTAGTACTCCAAGAACGAGTAAAGAAGTCCGTTCCTACTCATTGGAATCCCGCATTATTGGCCAGGTAAAAGAATGTAGAATAATTAGCATTTATCATGCACTTGAGACAAATAAGTCTAGAAATCTAATTTTACCATATGCTCAATGATTTGGAACCAAAACATGGGAAACAAAAGAAGATAGGAAGAAAGGGGATATTTATCACCTATTGGTTAATTTTGAATGTAACAAGATGTGTTTGGAAGAACGGAATGTTGTTTTACCTTCTTATTTTGTGATTTAATACTGTTGGAGTCCCACATTGGCTACACTTGGACCATTTCTCGTCAATATATGTTGTAACCACCCTTCTCGGGGCTCTTTTGGAGAGTAATTTAATGGGGTTCCACATATTCTTACATGGTATCAGAGCCAAGGTATATCGCTCTAGGGAACTCGGTACCCTGGGATAGTATGTTCCCATCTAGTCCCTTTACCACACTTTGGGATAATCTGTGACCGCTGGCTTTCATTGGAGGGAGCGTGTTGGAGTCCTATATTGGCCAGACTTGGACCATTTCTCCTCAACACTTGTTGGAGCCTCCTTTCTCTCCTCAAGGGCCTTTTTGGAGAGTAACCTAATGGGGTTCCACATATTCTCACAAATGCAATATTTTAGTCAACTTAAGATTATACATGAAGGAAAAGAAAAGAAAAAATAAGAGAGATATTCGAAATGTTCAGAAATGATTGTTCCCTGCCATGATAGAATTATCTTTGCCAATCCTTCAAACTACCTGGTAGTTCCATTTTCCATGTGCTTAAAGCCATAAATCATTATAATTGAAGTAGACCCACATCAATTTTATTAGGATCAAGTGGATCATTTGGTAAATGATCGGGAAAAGAGGGAAGAAAATAACTATCTGGATCAAGTAAGAGTTTTGTTTTTCTTTTTTGGTAGTTCCTGAGTTGTAGGGATTGATTGTTACTGATATTGGGATTCTGAATTACAATTCCTCTCTTTTGGATGCTTACTATATGTGTATGTATGGCAGGTTCATCCAGACTTATGGGACACACATTATAGTTGGGATGGGTGTTGGAGGTCAAGATATTATATGCATTAAGCAGAAATCATCCTCTACGATTTCGCCCACAGACCTTAGAGGATATTTGGAGGATCTTGGAGACTCTCTGTTCTTGGATGGAACCAGTCCTTCTCTACCAGAGAGGAAAACAAAAGATGGCAAACAAAAAGTATTTTTGAATCATTATACATCTTGAATTTACTGTATGTTTACTTCTCCAACTATCACACAAGTTTTCAGTCAATAATTCTGGTATGTTTTTCAGGTTCCAGATGTTTTCAACCGAATGTTGCAGCCACACACCATCCAATTCAGCAACATTACAGAAACTTCAACCAAGGATGTAAGTTGGAAAATAGTTTCAACAATTTGAATGAATCAACTACGGATGGTTAATTTAATGGCCTAAACTGGAACAGGGACTCACTATTATCGGGTCTAAGAGAGGTGGGGATGTCTTTTCCGACAGTCACTCCAAGTGGCTCCAGACCGTCGGTGCTCGTCCTGAAGCTATACTCTTCAAGTTTGTACCAATTACTTCTCTCCTTAATGGGGTTCCTGGGAGTGGATATCTTAGCCATGCAATCAACTTATATTTGCGCTGTAAGTGACAGATTGAATTAACTATCAACTCTTTGTCACTTTTTCTAAAAAACGCTACAACAAGAATCGGTTTTATAGGACGCCAAATATGTCTAAATGTCCTAATAGATTGCTTTATAGGACCAAATAATTGTGTTTCCTATATAAAGGTGCTACAATAAGTTGATGAGTCACTTTTGGGCGTCCTAATGAGTTTTTTAGGACCCTTCTGAAATAAGTGTCCTACTAGTATTTTTATATGATATTATATGTGAAATCGTTCCATGATAACAAGTGTCCTATAAAAAGAGGCGTTCATAGGACATTTCTCAAAAGTGTTCTATAAAAAAGCTAATAGGATACTTCATTTCAAGTGTCCTAAATAACTTGTTAGGATGCTCAAAAGCGTCTTGTCAACTTATTGTAACATTCTTAAAAGGACGCAGAATTATTTGGTCCCATAAACCAGTCTATTAGGATATTTAGCCATTTTTTGCATCCTATAGAACCGGTTTTGTTGTAACGGAAGTTATTATATGCTGTCTTGTTAGCTATTAGTTCAACCTATTTTCCTCGCATTTCTCCCCGCTACGTTGCTTGTTTGCACACAATCACACCTGTAGCTTGTTCGCTTGTAATTTTTTTGCAAGCCGAGGGTCTTGATGGAAACGGCCTCTCTACCCCTTTGGATAGAGGAAAGGATTGCTTATATCCTACCCTCCCCGACAACCCTAACTCTGCATGAAATTTACTAGATTACCCTCTATATATGTAAACATATATTTGTTTGTTGGTGTTTTCATTTGAGCAAGTTGTATTAACAATATATGGTGTTTCCTTGGTGAAATGATGTTGGCCAGACAAGCCTGCACCAGAAGATTTACAACTTTTTTTGGAGTTCCAAGTTCCGAGACAATGGGCACCTCTATTTTGCGAGTTACCTCTTCGGCATCAACAAAGAAAGACTTCTTATCCTCAGATTCAGTTCGCTTTCCTGGGTCCCAAGATGTATGTTAATACAGCTCAGGTAATGTGCATCTAGGCCATTATTATTAATCACTTCATCATGTTCTACTTCTCTTAGCTTTATTAGGCGAATGAACATCTAATCAACAGTTTAATCACCAGAATTCACTATTCATATATGATTATGTCAATTCTTTTGATAGATTTCTATAGAACTAGTGAGGGGTTCAGACATAACTAAAACCATGGTGAGAGCTTAAGGTAGAAACTATCAAGGGGTTACAAGAAAGTGTAGAACCGTAGTCAATTTTTTATTAATGGTATTCATTGTGAATATAGGTTCAATCCATTTCCCATGTATGAATCATCATCATAAAAGATGGTCATGATTCATCTTGGCTAATCTCACTCATTGTCAACTTCTTTCATTTGCTTGAGTATAGAACCAAATGTAGCAATGTTAAATGGATCAAGAATATGATTTGAATTGGGAAATTGACCGAAATGGCCATTTCTCTTACATGAATTGGTCTTCTAGTCATTCCTCTCCCGGTTTTACCCTAATGCCCCTACCTCCGCAAATGGTACCTCCCCCACATGGACCTGGACAAAAATTGCGGAGGTGCCGGTTGCGGACCTGGGTAGAAATTGTAATTTTCTTTAATCTTTTAGCTAGGTCTGCAAGTGGGGAGATACCACTTGCAGAGGTAGTGGCATTTGGGTAAATTAGGGAGAGGAATGGCTAGGAGACCAATTCAAATGGCTCTTTGTGCCGATTTCCCATTTGAATTATCTTGATATGGCGTTTGCCAAACGAATCTTTGTTCATCTTAGGGGTTGTTTACTACCTGCTCACCGCCTCTTACCAAGTAAGAGGTGCTTACCCTATCAGAGATGTTTACCAAGCCCCTCTTGCCAGTCCATGATGCTGACCCGGTAAGCCAAGGGAGGTACTCTAGCTCAGTAAGCGATTAATGCTGACCCAGACCGCACTCTTACCCGGATAGCGCTTACCCAGTTTCTGTTTGTAAACAGCCCCTTAGTCTTGGAAACAACCTCTCTGTCTTTTGGGACAGAGGTAAGGTTCGGTACATCCTACCCCCAAACTCACAAGACCCTACTTCCAGATGGGATATACCGGGTTGGTTTGTTTTGTTGAGCTTTGTTCATCTTACATATGTATGCTATCTCTGATCAGTAATGAACCCTGCTAAGAATGCTCATAATGGGTATTATTCAGGTCTCAAGTAGCAAAAAGCCGATCATTGGCCTGCGCCTATTTTTAGAAGGGAAGAGAAGCAACCGATTAGCAATGCATCTACAACATCTCTCGAGTCTTCCTAATATCATGACATATTCATCTCCATCTTCTATCATAGCCTGCAAATGGCGAGGCTCTGATGAATACGAATCTAGTGCCCAATTCCTGGAACCAATCCGATGGAAAAGTTACTCAAATGTGTGTTCATCTGTAGTCAAGCATGATCCAAACTGGTTAAGGGAAGAAGGAACAGGGGGAGGAGTCTTTATTGTGACCGGCGCCCAGCTCATAAGCAAAGGGAAATGGCCCAAAACCGTACTACACCTTCGGTTACTCTTCACCCACCTCCCCCACTGCACCATCAGGAAGACCGAGTGGGCCGGTGCACCATCTGTTGGTCGCAAGTCCAGCATCTTTACGAACCTAAGTTCAACCTTTACGTTCACTCATCGGTCAGTTGCCGATGCACCAAAGCAACTTCCGGCAACACTCAACTCCGGTGTGTATCCTGACGGCCCACCGGTGCCGATCCGGTCCACAAAGCTCCGTAAGTATGTGGACATCGAAGAGGTGGTTCGTAGCTCTCACGATATGCCAGGCCATTGGCTCGTGACCGCAGCTAAGTTGGTTTTGGACGGTGGTAAGATCGGTTTACATGTCAAATTTGCATTGTTAGATTATCCTCAGGAAATGTAGTTTGATTGTATATATAGAATGGATATCAGGTTCCTATTTTTTCATGAGGTATTGTACAGAAACATACTCAAATTCCTGAAATGAATGTACAACAAAACATGCACAAAATACAACCACCAATGAGAACAGTCGTACCAAAAAGGTCATTGGTCCAACAGTAACTGGGTTACTGGTAGAGCCAGCCTCCCGATTGGACCGGACATGACAGAACCAGACACAAGTATTTACTGTATATAAATATTGTATGTTGATGGAGATCGAAATGCCAGAAAGTGATGCTTCCATTTATTAAGGTTAATAGTATGGTTCAACTACATGACTTATAAAGCATAGGATACCGGTTGTTACAGCGGTTGCGGTCGAGTTTGGACAATGAAGATATCTTTACCGACCAAGCATCCTTCGACATCTTGAGCCGATCCGAATTTACGCTCAAGGAACAAACCAACAGCACCCAGCTTCTGCCCGAACTGTTGCCGGAAAACGGGGTTGACCGTCAATGGCTTCTTGCTGTAATCGACTGTCAAATGGAGCACCTCCCCATCCGCCAGACCTCCGACCACCATCTCCTCGCTGAAATTCGCAAATGCCAGTGTCCGAACCACCCCGTCAAATTTCCCGGATGAAAGCCGCCACGGCGTGCCTCTTGTCCCTGACGCTAGCGTCTCTCCGAGCCCGGGTGCAATCTCGGCTTCCACCACGTTATTGTTGTTGTCTGTCGGGCTGACCGTGTGGAGCACAAAGGAAAGGTCCGGTGAAAGCATCTCCTGGACCAAAACCGCCATTGTTGCCGCTTTTTGCGGCACACCAGCAACTCTACGGCTCAAAACCGCTCTTCGGGTGTACAACGAAGCCCATACCCGACTAACGGCATGCCCAAAATTGACTGGATTCGAAAGGGTAACATTAGGAATAGAGTCATATAGCCCGGCAGCCGACATTCCAGCCAAATCCTCCACGTTAGCACTTGACCGTACGATTAAACGCGCATTACCCTCGAACAATTCCCCTAAACTTTCAAGAATTCGGCTCGGAAGCTGCAGGGAGGTGATCAAATTTTGCAACTCGTTACACAGCTTATCGAGCTCTCCACCGTCCATTTTGGCAGTTTCGATCTGCTCCAATAGCGACGCAAAAGCTTCTTTCAACTGGCTTTCTTCTATTGCAAGTTCCATAGTACCGAAAGGAATCACCGCCCCATTCGGCACGTTAAAAGCTGCCGGAACTCCCTGGTCGCTATAAACTGCATTGAATCAAGAAATCCACTCAGATTTCACAAGCAAAAGATAGTTTCGGGTACATAACCGATGGAAATAACATAATCTAGAGAAAGTTCAAATGAAAAGCATAAAGAATTTGAGAACCTGTAACCACTATTTCATGTATTATTCCTGATGAATAACCCTAAATTATCAAAATTATGATTCAGCATGCATTTTCATTATGAATCATCATAAATATCTATATCTCAATATTCATTATGAATAAAACATGAATAGTTGGTTTCCAGGTTCTCAAAATATTTATGGTTCCAATTGATATTTTTGTTATAGAAAGATGGGTATTTTGACCTTTAGCCGAAACCGCAGCTAGAGAAGCTAATCTACCACAAGCTGCTGCCTTTGCACCGGAAGTTTGTACATCTGCATCGGCGAGAGGTATAATGCCGCCCGTAGAAACACCCTTGAAAGAACGACTGATGGTTATTAAATGTAATTTATGGTCCAAAAAATGGATATTTGCATTCAGTGTTAATAAGTTATTACAGTACCTGGCTTGAAGAGATGGATTTGGGTACAGAATCCGTTATGGTTCCGTTTGATGAAGTTTCCACAAGACCGTCCCTAACACCGTCCTCCAAGGAAAGTGAAACATTGACGCCCGACGGGGATGCATCTAACCTGCAAAACAAAAGCATCTTTTTTAGAGATGTGAGTCTCTATCACGCCTCCTCCAACACAGCTAAGAGATCCGTTCTGTACCGTTGTGGAGCAAACCTACTCGTATCAAGTTTATGAAGACTGACCTCACATGTTTCCCCTCAAGCTTTTTGATACTAGCAATTTTATCATCATCTTCACAAGTCACAAATGCAACTTTCTCCTGAGTTATTTCAAGAAACGATTAGCCAGACCGCAATATAAAAAATGTGACGATAAAAAAGCGTAAAAAATATGAGACTTGCCTGTCGGGCCCTGACACCGAGATGTGATAAATGAGGCAGCTCCTGGAGCAGAATGACCCCGACTATGTTACTCCCTGCAGCTGTTACCTGCAGATTGCATAAACCGTGCTATCAAACCCTGCTTTTACCCTAATGTTTCTATGTGTGCGTGTATATATTCGAGTAAAACACAATTTTGGGTGATTGTTCTCCATATCTGATACGTGTCAAACGATCAGCAGTAACCCGTCCGGGTTACTGGTAGAGCCCAACCTCCCAGGAGGTCAAGTCTCTCCATAGGCGAGAAATGTGTGAATTTTGTCAATATATATAGAGAGAAAGACTTGGGATCATGTGAGACTAGTCTGTTTTTCTGAGACCCATGAGACCACAAAATAACATTGAACCTTCACAACAAAACACCGTGAAACCTTCACAAAACACCGAACCTTCACAACAAAAATAGTGTGAAGGTTTGTTTTGTACCTTCACCCTGTTTTTGCTTCGAAGATTCAATGTGTTTTTGTACCTTTACAGCTGGTCTAACGGGTCTAACGAGATCAGGCTGGCCTCACGAGAACCAAACCCTATGTATAAACCCCTTCTTTTACAAACCCAATAATTCGTTACAAACTAGTTTTCATTTGTTGTTTCATATATGAAAGAACACGTGTGAAGAATGCAGTGTTTATACAGTTTTTTTCCATTCACCAAAACAGTCCTGTTTCACATATGAAACAACACTGTATGAACACTGCCTTTTCACACGTGTTCTTTCATATGTGAAGCAAAACATGAAAACTGGTTTGTAAGTTTGTATGATTTATTAGTTTGTAAATGATCCTACATCTCTCTCTCTCTCTCTCTCTATATATATATATATATATACTTAAAAAAAAACTATTCTAACCTCCTCATCTCCATCGGCTTTGCTGACCATGAGAATAACAGGTCCTTTGACAGAAGACGGAAGTACGCCTGGTATTATTCTTTCAACCTGGTAAAACGACATGATGGAGGATTAAATAACCAAACCAAACATGCTCAATATGTCTCACTCAGAAGTAGGGTCTGTGAAGAGTAAGAAGTAGAGCGGATGGTTCTATGAAGACCCTTGGCTAAACTCACCTGTATCAAAGTTCCATGAGCTAATCCAGGAACAAGAACATCAAAACCCTGAGACCCGAGCGTGGTCCTAACTGCCTTTAGAAGCATCGTGCAAAGTTTCGAAACCTGAAAAATTATGCTACAGACCAAAAAATCCATTAAGAAGTTTGAAAAGAAGCATACCGATTAAATCATGAAATGTGATCATGTTGAACGTTATTTAGTTTATATAGTGTCTCATCATACCCGGCACGAATCTCTGCTTCTGTGAACGTTCTCACACTATTTTCAGGAATCCCGAGAGCTTTGCCCAACAACTACAAGAAGCATAAAGAACTCTAGTTTAGGTAAGATGTTTAACTATATGTGAAATATCTAAAATACCCTTCAAGAAAATTCAAACAATGGGATCTTGTGGACTCGGACCAATACCAACAAGTCATTTGTGATGATGTTAATGGGCAAATAGGTACTTTTACCTTGGAATACTCCAAGAAAATTTTACACTTTTATGGATATCTTAAAACAGTAGCAACATTAGCTTAATCCATATAGACAGCTTAATCCATACAGATCGAATGATACCTCTACTTTCGGAGGAAAGATTTGGAGAAGTGCCTCTGAGTATTCATCAATGAGTCTCTTCGATCTATCAAGTGTAGCTTTAATCCTTAGAGCCCAAATTGTCTTCCCGTCTTCACTACCTAAGGAATAGATATGACAGTGGTTACCAGAAGCACAATAAATCATATCGATCATTAAAAGGATACTAACGAGAAAATCTCACCTTCTTTTTCCAAAAGACCTTTTTCTTTCCATGCAAGAAGTTCGTTTTCAATCGCTTTACATTCTTCTGGCTTCCATCCCGATAACCCCAGCTGGCGAATGCCGACAACAAGAGCACCAATCGGGTCACTCCATGAGTTAATGTTTTTTGAATGCGCATTCTCTGCAAGCCATTGAGCCCCGCCAGCAGCATCAAGTGCATTCAGATATCTACACATATCGACCATATTTAAATGCATGAGTGGAGATGAAGATTTACTCGTGGCTCCCGTTTACATAAAGACAGGACCCACAAAATGGAGGATGAACAATGAAGATAAGATAAAATAAATGTAATGCACACAAACACCACTTTTAGACTAAAACTATAACCGAAAACCTTGCCAAACGAAACTCCAATAAGGTCATATCGAGTGTTAAATAGTGTACATATAGACATACACTACAACATACCTGCTCATGAGAACAAATGCATAGTCCTCGAGTCCGATCTCAACAAGACGCCACTGTAAAAGGGAAAACAAGATTTGCAAAGTGTGAGCTCCTCTTCTTAACATATAGCTTTAACCTAAAGCTCCTATGTCTTTTTTTTGGTAATTGTGCATGTTTGGGCCAATTTGCGTGCGCCTTGACTAATCCCATGGGGCTCTTAAGATAACAATCAAGAAAATCCCCAGTGGCCCTAAGAAGACTCGAATATAGGGAGGATCCCCAAAGCCTGGCGTTTATTTGCCGGTTGAGCTGACCCTAAAGGTCCTATGTCCGAACCTCACACTTCGAAAAGCAAAAAAGCTTTCATGCCTCCCCCCCCCCGGGGGGGGGGGTATGGTTAATCATCTTCCCGTGATATATCACAAATCCTCAAAAAGTATAACTTTAACCTATTGCCAAACAATTAGGAAAACCCGTTACCTTTTGGCGCATTGCTATTGCAGTATCAGGAGCATCATTGCGGATACCACTTTCAAGACCTTTCATTACTATTTCTCGAAAGCCATCTAACGATTGTATAGTATTGACCAATAGTTCTATCCCGTTGCCTTTCAACACATCAGGTGTTCCTTGGAAGTTATCCAACGCCTATGAATGAAATCAATACATTCATTATAAATATATGTTTCCATGATATAAGTAGAGAAGAGTTACCAAAACACTTTAGGGGTCCTTGAAAATGATCCAAATCCTTTTGGCAAGAACAGCCTAAGGTTCGAGTCATTAATACAATCCTTTGCAAATGGAAATTTAAAGGTTGTATACAAATATTTCCACCCCAACCCTCATAAAAGTATCAAATTACATGTGTTGAGTACGTAAGCACAAACGAAAATGGCAGAACATAGAGAAATATTCATTTTTATGGAAATTTAGAGATAAAATGGGGGAATAAATGGTATAAAAATTGAAAGGCTACCTTCTTGCACTCCAAGAACGAAGAAAGCTTTGCTTTGCTCCTTTCATCAAAAGATTCTTTAATCGACTCAAGTTGTTCAGTAAGGCTGCAAAAGCAAATACACATTTTTACTACAATCACATCAAGAAATTGAAGTCCATTTCAATTTCACTATTTAGGGTGCATTTGGTGCCCGGGACAAGATGAGATGGGACTGAACAGTATAAACTTGTTGTCCACTATTGGTGCGACATTAGACTGTGACAGGACACGACAAAAATGCATGTTTTTTTTCTGTCCAACGAAAATCACGAAGATGGGACAAGAATGGTAAATTACTAAACTACCCATGTCAAATTAAAACCCTAAAACCTTTCACAATGTTTTCACACGCCTATCTCATTCTCTCTCGTCCAGTCATGCCAGTCCTATCCGCATACCAGACACACCCTTAATATTGTCATTTCATGTGGTCCCATCTATAGTGTATGACGAAAATGAAGATGTGTTTGTGGATCCATCGACAGGATGTAAAAAGTGAAAATGAGATCCAACAATACAGTGAATGGTGAATAACAAACAATTGTGATAGCTAAGAAGACAAATAGCAAACCTTCCAGCATTAAAGAAATCCTTGAGTTCATGATGGAATATTTTGAACTGCTCAACAAATGCTTCGTTGTATTGTCCAGGGTTCTTAGTGATTCTTTCAAGCATTGCAGCAGTAGCAATTAAATCTTCAGGGCCAGCACATCGGTGAAGTTTGTTCTGAATCGTATGTTTGATTTCTTGCTGGAATGTGCACATTCTCCAAAACGTCAACACAATGAAATGACAAAAGTACCCAAAAAACACAGAGTGTGCCATGAGGTTATCACCTTGAGGTCATGTGGGATATCGTTTCTGTGAGCAATGTCTCTAATTCGAGTTAGAGGAACGGAAGCGGTGAATTCTGCTTTGAAAGATGGTAAGCATGGATGAATTTTGCGGATTACAAGCAACTCCTGCACATTTTCAAACAAAAGCATATGATATAAGATGCTATCTGTTTACACCATAAATGTACATTCTCCATTTCGTGGGACCCACATTCATCTTTTCATTTCTCCTTGCACCATACAAAGTGCAACCGGTTCGGGCCATTTACCATTTTCAATCAACAATTAGACACTTGAATTTGGCCAAAATAATCGTATTCCAGTGAGCTCTTCGGTTTTCAAGAGGCTGAGTTCTCTCCAACTACCTCTCAAGAAACTGAAAATTATACCATACCATCCCCCTTACCTACTTCCCTTATTTATACTAATGAGTTGCTACTAACTGCTCAACTGACTCCCTCTATTCCCCAACTACCCTCCTGTCTTATTACCATCATACCCCCACTTTTTACCTCTTCTCCTAATATAAGTCTTTACAGCTTCGTGTCTAGCAATTTCCTTTTGTGGATCCCATTTATATAGTGTCAGAAGAAATTAAGATAACAGGTCCCAATCTGATGAGACCCACAAAATGGGGAATAGAAGAAAAAAATTTAAGCAAATGGAACCTAAGCAATCAACAGAAAAGGATGATGATTCATGCCATACAAACATACTTATGATCAAAGAAATGTGATGCAGCAATCTTTTCACAATTCCCAAGAGAAGATCCTTGTTTTTCTCCCAAAAGATAGTAGCTTTAGTTAAAAAAAAGTTGTATAAATTACATGAATCACCTGTGGCGAAGTATCTTTCCTACTAGATATTCTTTCCAATTCACGGAATATAAGCCTGGAAATTTCAGCATGCCTATTTGGCCTGTGATGACCACCATCCTCAAAGCAAGGAATTTGCCCAGTATTTATCCACTGCAAAGAAGGGTATGAGTTAAGAAAACAAATAGCGTAATTGGTACAATAAAGTGAATAGTGCATGTTGAGCACAAAACCTTGAGATAGATGGCTGAATATATGAGAGCGTCCAACCGTTCTGCACCATCCATACTTCCAACCACTAGCTCACGAATAACTTCAAGCTTCACCCATGATATGAATGCAAATACAAAAGCAGAAACACCTAAAAATTAGTCCTTTCGGCTATTGAATCAGAAAAAAATAATAAACATTGCAGCCTCAATCTCAAAAGTTGTAGGTTTCAATTCATCGAAGACTTTTCAGCATACAACAAACCAAACCAAACCAAACGAACCCAATATATCCCACTTGAAAGTAGGGCCTTGGAGGGGTAGGATGTAGGCAGACCTTACCCCAATCACTAGGATCGAGATGTCGTTTCTGTGATGACGCATAGGTGTGTGCAATCAGGCAATAAGATAGAAATATAATTGGTAATCAAGAAATATAACAGGTAGAATAAGGATTCAATTGTGTGTGTGCTTGGCAATCCTTGGTAGAAGTCATTCATGATTTCATGCTGAACCTGGTAAACAAGCAAATAGGGGGTCTTTCCAGAAAATTGTTGAACAAAAGACGATATAATGGTGTGCAATAATACAAGTTGAACTAATAGATAGAAAAAAGTACCTTTCGCCACCAGTTCCTGCCATCCCTGTCACCTTCGACTAACTTTAAAGCCACCCCTTCAAGCCCCGCGGTATCCCATTGTCTTTGTCTTTCCCTATCTCCATGCTCATTCGATCGCATGAATGATGCTTCCTTCCCTTGCCATTTCTCCACAAAAGGACTTGTGGCACCCTCCAAAACTTGAGAACCGTTATCTTCTTGAAGTTCGGATACATTTTCCACTTCTACCTCATATTCTTTGCCATCCACAGGCAACAGATTTACTGGTTCATTAGTCATATTCCAATGGCAAACCATCTCAAAACTCCCAGATTGTGGCAGCTTTAAGACTCGGTTGTCACCACCTTCCCATACCATGCTCTTGTCCAATTGCTCAACGACAAATTTAAATTCACAAGTCTCCCCCCCTTTACATTCCATATCACAAACCCAACCAGTCTCTGTCCAACTCAATTGCTTCTTCTTCTTCCATGATCCAAATTCTTTCATGGACCCCAAGACTCCAACGTGCTCACCAAATTTGACCTGATGATCTAGCCGCAGACTCAGCTGCACCATCCCACGAGCGGTCTTTGACTTCATCCCTGTTTCCCCCTTCTCTTCTTCTCTGGAAAACACATATTGTTAGGTTAACTCTGTAAAACAAATGGGAAATATCATGAGAAACAACAGATGGGTTTTCCTATCACCATAAACACCTTTTCATCAAAATATTTACATTTACAGGTCTCCCAACCACAGTGATTTCATTTTATTGATTTCCAACACTTCCACATAAACCATTGTCTGTGAAATGATTATACAAGAAAGTTGTAACCCCACCCTCCCAACAAAACCATTAAAATAGCAATGTTGTTGGTGAAATTGTTTAATCATTTGTCAAATATCTAAAATCCCATTACAAAGAGAAACAGAAATCAATAAGATAAATTTACTTGTAACACAGATCAAGAGTCAATACCATCAATCTAGTTGTAGGGGTAAACAGTAACATATAAACTTCCCAAATAAGAAATATATCAAGTTTGAACATCTAAAAAGAAAACATATTTCATGGACGGGAAGGACTATGAATGCATTAGTTTTATAACATACAAAAAAAATACAGTATTTCCTCTTTCACATGAATATCATCTTGGTCTTGACAGTTTATCAAACATCTAGTGTCCATGATAAAGAATTCCAAATCAATGCCATTAAAGTGATCATATGATAATAGGCCAGTAAAGAGAGAAAAGAAGAATCAGTGGCCTCAATACCTCGATTTATTTATGGTTCCAAACCACAAAAATGGCTGAGATTTATCAAAAACAAACAAAATCCTTAAAATTTTCAAGATCAAAATTCTCCAGAAACGACAATAAACCTGGTTTGGGTGGATACAGCACAGACAACGGGAGAAGATTGTTGCTGTAATCCCAAATGATGTCCACGACCAGGAGCTAATCTTGGCTTCAAAAAACCCACAACCCGAAAGGTTCTTTGCCGGTTATGGTGATGGAGGAATCTTAATTCCCTCGCGAATTGGGTTTCTAAAAATGAAGAATTCTTGGTGGCAGAGAAACATTGCAGCACACGCAGAGAATCCATTGAAGAGTAATGTGTAAAATGTAGAGAAGTTGTCGATTTCTGAAGGTTTTAGTAGGATGAGGGTGTTGTGAAGGGGAAGATAGAGGGGGTGATGAACACGTGTAAGAGAGATTTTTATCAAATCCCCATGAGGGATCTAAAAAGTATTTAAAGATTTTTATGTTAATCGAAGGAGTCTTGACCCTTCATTCGTGGATATATATATATACATATACATACACAAACTGTATTGATCATGTCGACAGTCGACTGCTTCCACTTTACTCCATAAACTTGTGATCATAGAAAACCCCCCAGAGTTTGATTTGAACCTTTTTGTTTTGGTTTGGAGTTTGGACAGATAAAACTCAGAGGAAGGACTTTATTTTAGAAATTACAAATTGCACGAAAAAACAAGCATATTTTATCTTGATTTCTATTTTGAGTAATCTGTTTTTAAATATTTATTTTGATAGATAAGATATAAAGTTTTAAATATTTAAGTATCCAGATAACCAGTTGAAAACTAATTTTAGATTAAAAAAATTTCATGTCACTAACCACGTCAGTAAATAATACTGAGTTTGATGTCATATCACTCGCCACATCAGCATGATGACCGGTTAATGCTTCAACCGATTACCTTAGTACTTAAATGTTTAAAACTTTACATCTTAGATATCAAAATAAAAGTTTTGAAAGTACGTTACCTAAAATAATAATCAAGTTAAAATACGTTATTTTTTCATGTAATTTGCGCTTTTGAAAAATGTAGATCAGAATCTCTGTGGGATTTGAATTGGATTGGTAAATATCTAGTTTGAAGGATTTTCTAATTTGAAATCCGGGATCAGGGTTGAGTAATACTGCTCATCCAAGTTAATATCAAAGCTTACTTTTTTTCATTTTTAATGCATGATTTGATATGATTCTAACATAAAAAATTGTATATGGCATCACCCTTTTTTCTAAAAAGATTTATATCCGACTTCAAACCTATTTTATTATAGAGATTCCAAGATTGATTACGTTATTAATACATTCAATATATTTAATAAATATTATTTCTCTCAACTAAATAATTAGTTTTTATATATGAAAAAGAAATTGAATATTATTTCTCTTTCTTAAATATAGAGTTTTAAATAACATTTATCCCTCCTCAATATAGAGTTTAGAGAATTCTTTATATTTGGAGCTTATTTATTTTAGAGAACAAGATAGTGAATTTGTTGGAGCAATATAGAGAACAAAAACTCCATTTGCTCTATTTTAGAGAATCTGTACAACAAATTCTCTACAAAATTTCTAAAATAGAGAACTGAAAAGTTAAAATCTTTAAAAAGAATTACATTCAACTTTAACAGATACTGTATTTTAAATATTTCAACATAAATTATATTATTTATAATATTCTTTAACTTTATCATCCCAATACATTTTAAAAAAACTTCATATAAAATAATAATGATTCAATCTTATTACTGGACTTGAATAAAATAATCATTTTTTCTTCCTACATTAAGTTTTAGAGAATTCTCTAAACTTGAAGTTTTTTTTCTTCATGTTTTCTCTATTTTAAAGAACATTATAAAGAATCTGTTGGAGCAATATAAAGAATAAAATATTTATTTCTCTATTTTAGAGAATCTGTTGGAGATGATTTCTCTAAATTTATAGATTTCACACTCCCTCTCATCTTTTCTTTATTTTAGTATACATTATAACCTGTTTCTGAACAGAAATATCTTTAGTTTCAAAATCTCTATTTTATAATAGCTGTTGGAGATGCTCTAAGTTTCTGACATATTTTTATACAAATAAGTCGTTGCACTTGTTAAAATCGAACATGATGGTTCTTCTAACCCTAAAAAAACGACACGTAGTTAATTATGGTTGTAAAATGACTTTTAAAGTACATAAAATGTCTGAAAAACCCAATGAACTTCCATATAATTTTTCTTGAACAAATAAATGTTTGTAATTATTGAAATCGTCATTTTTACCATAAAAGATGGTCGTTAACCGTCTAACTGACTGTGGTGGTTAAATGCCCTTTAAAAATGTATTTGTGTATATTAAAACATATTTTAATATTCGGTTAACATTTGATAAGAAGATAATCTTGAGTTTTACTCTCGTGTTTAGACCTTTGTTTACCTTTGAATGGATCTGAACGACAAACTCAGTACAAATTGACAGATCAAATGACAAAATATACGTTATAAAACATAATTTAAATGGATGTTGTTAGTACGTGTCAGTTTGTTAAACAAAAATTATGATGTCATCTAAACAAACGATGGATAGGAATTTGCTTTTGATTTAGTAAAAAAACGCTTTGGCGGGGGAGAAGACAAACCTTAATGCTTCATCGAGAACGTCTTTGTTTAAATAAGCTACAAACAAAAATCCTACTATTTTGGAGATTGCTATCAAATTTTCTATTAAGTCATGTATAAATAAGTTCGTTATCCTAATAAAATGTGTTGTTGTTTGCCTTTTTACCTGAATCAGTAATCTGAATGATAAAAATGACCATTTTATATATTAAGCTCATTAAGTCAAGAATAAACGGCACCTTCTTTGCGATATCTCGTTATATCACAATTTGTATGTAATGCAAGTGAAAGTTGTACATTGTTGTAGATTTTACCAGCGACGGACCCAAGTTTTTTTGCTGAGTAGGTACATTTTTAAGATGGATCAAAGACTCGTAAAGTTGCTCGAGGTGTTTTTAGTCAGATCCCAATATTTCGATGGATTTTTTTGGTTGATTTCAAGGAACTTTTCGGTTTTTTGGTTGATTTCGGAAGACTTGTTTGGTTAATGTCCCTTTGTATTTCTTAATATCCCGGAGGCCGGAGTACCCCTTAAAAGTTTAGTGTGTGCACCTTTTATACCTGAATGTTTTTTACTTGCAAAAATCGGTTAAACGGATTTGACCAAAAATCCTCAGTTTTCCAAAAAACCAGTAAAACAAACATGTATTTCATGCATAAAAACTCGCGATTTCTCCCGATTGATACATGAGCAAGAACAATGAACAAGAAGATGAATGTAACACATCTTTCGGATTCAAGAAAAAGGTAGAAGTTTTTAAATCAAACAAAACTTGTTCTCTAACAAAAGCATACCAGGGTGGATCGTCGTTGCTCAATGACTGTTGTGGATAACATGGTGAAGGATTCGGAGTGATCATTCCCACTTAGACTTTACCGCGTTCTCAACATCGGTCTTGATCGATCTTTGAAGTGGTTGCAAGACAAAGAAGTACTGGAGACGTGCATCAAGTTAGACATCAACAATAAAAGCTTAGATGTTACTTCCTCCGTCCCAAAATAAATGTCTATAATGTTTTCACGTTGTGTTCTCGAATTTGGGGACAAAAGGAACATCTTCTTTTTCAGATTCGAGAACACAGTGTAAGGATAGAATTGGAAAGTATGTAGTTACTTTTGAAGCGTGAAAAACTAAAATTGTAAGGGTAAAATTGGAAAGTATAAAATGGGCAATGATAAATGGAAATAGAAGATGAGAACCAGCTGAAGGCATAAGCAAGTAGCATCGAAGAAACAGACATCAAGTTCAAATACTTACTTGAAATGCAAGGATCAGAGGAATGAAAAGTTTCCCTCTATCGTTCGGGTTGGGTCCATCGATCAACTTCTGGTCAACCAATATGCATTTGCTATCGGTCAAAGCCACTTTCGTGATCGTTTCAACTATGCTCGGAATCCAAGCAGTTCCATTTGGAAGAATCTGCGACCTCAAAACAAATCTAAGGTGAATAGGAGATGCATAAAGAATCAACACAAGTCGAATAGTTACGAGCCAAACGACCAACCTTTTCATCCTTATCGTTTTTATTACATCTGCTACTGTTCTCAACCAAGCCCACAGGAATAGAGAACTTCTACAAGAAACAGAAAGCACAGAGTAAATTTAATAAAAATGATTCACATGATCGTCAATATACAAAAGCCGAAAAAACATTGATCAAGTTTTCTTGTGTAAAACAAGCGCGAGACGGCACTGGACAGGTGAGAGTGAGATAGCCAGACACGTGAAAGAATTGTGGAAGGTTTTAGGATTTTAATTTGACAAGAGTAATTTAGTAATTCATCAATCTTGTCTCATCGCCTCATTTTTGTTCCACCTATTTTTGGTGGGATAAAAAAATGCATTTTTGTCCCATTCAGTCCGGTCCTGCCCCGGTCTATTATCACACCAATGTGGGACAAGAGGATTTTGTTCTATCCTGTCAACGTACCAAACACACCCTAAAGAGGTCGCATCTTCGAGTGATAATGGCATGCTCAATCAAGTGAATAAATGGTATATAGTGAGAGGTTCAAATAAGAAGGCTAAATGTCGTACGTGAGAAGGTAAGAAGAGAAGGTTAAATTAAGGATCACATGTGAATCATCGAAAAAAATCCAATTTAAGAAGCATATGTGCACCCATATTAATAATCTGTAATGTCGGTTCACATATGCATCTTCAAATAGATTTTTATTCGGATATTTTCAATGATTCACATATGAACCTTCCCTTCTCACGATATTTAGTCTTATTTGAACCGGCCCCTACTATAGTATGTACGAAAAAGTAATGAAAGCAACCAAACGAACTGCGAGAAAATAAGCACCTTGATATATTTTGTGTGTGTTGTGTGTATAGGAGAGATGGAGAGTAATTCCAAAGAGAAGAAGCACCTGGATATCTTTCTTTTTGAACCTAGCACCAAGATGTACAACCTTGAGAAGAGCCTCGGATCTTCTTGCTAAAAACTCATCATAACTAAGACAGTCTGGAGGGGATAGCTGAGCATGTGTGAGCACTATAATTGCTCTATGCCATATTTCTTGACCAAAACTATTGCTTATGGCTTTCACAATCTTCACATCCAACGAATCAACCCTGTAGGCATCTAGCCGGTCCACATAAAGCAAAACATCTATCGTCTTGTTCAGAAGGAACCTACTCAGACAGCCATATAAAAACAAACCTTTTATGAGTCATTGACATAATCAGATTTAAATGTCAATTCTTTGAAGTTTCCATAGGAGGATTCAGATGCAGTTGTCCACTTCTAAGGAGTGCTATGTTTCCGGTAAGCCTCAAGTTGTGGGCTGCCAATAATTTCTGACATGGTTTTAAAGTTGAATGATAAGTTATTGGACGAGTCTGCTGTTTTCTTCAATATTATTCTTGGATGCTTGCAAAATATGTTCAGTTGTAACTATTCAGTCCCAATGTTTTGAGGGATAAATTTTCAGTTGTATTTATTGGAGTCTCATATCAGCTAGACTTGGACCGTTTCTCCTTAATATATGATGGAACCTCCCTTCTCTTCCTAAGGGCTCTTTTGGAGGGTAATCTGAGTTTCACGTATTTTTACAGTATTGTCATATTAAAAACCAGGAAAGCAAATATGACCTTTTGATGATGTCAAGGGCTTGGTTGTTGATGTATCCTCCTTCGACAATGCCTGGTGTGTCAATGATGTTCAGCGTGAAACCTGACCGTTCCCGAGAAACCATTGTAGGTCTTGGTGTCTCCGACTAAAAAATCATGTCAGTGGATAAGCAATTTGGCATGTACAATAAATATGTCCAATAGACATCTTCCGCAAATTCCTATACTGCTAGTAGGTACCTGGAAGGCGTTGACAGTAACTGCTCTCTCACCAATAATAGAGTTCACAGTCGAAGATTTTCCAACTCCACCTTTCCCCATTACGAGGATCGTCAACCTGTCCTTTTTCTGCAATATTGCAAGAACAGGGATTCCAAAAGGGCACAGAAAACTTCATTTATAATATTGCCATTGCTTGTTTAATAAATAAATTGTGAACATTTTGAACAAAAAAATTATCCTGAACATAGCTGTACACAAATGCTCTAGTTTGCATGAACTTTAGAGCTTTACTATGTCTTCAATGTGAGTGTAACGACTAAATATATAAAGGGAGTTATGGATAGATTTAGACCTTCTCCTTTAGTCTTCCCAACAATTCCAGAAGCTTCTCCTGGGTGGCAAGAGGGAATTGTTGAATCCCACTCCATTCACGGATAAACTGGGATGCCATGGAAACTGCAGCACAAAAGCTTGATTAAATTCCAATACACACATATGTAGAAATGGCAGATGAGATGAGACCATAGAGGATCTAGATATTAAAGAAAACTTCCCAAGGGTGCCTAATGATGTGCCTATACATCAGGTTGTACTAGTTGTTTTGACAAAATTATGTGAATGTAAATGATGCTTAATAAGATTGAAACACAAAACCAATGATGCTTCATTAATACGACCAACTTCTCTCAATGAGAAAATTAGATAAAATACATTCATGTCCTTGAAGCCAGGGGATTCACCTATTTATGCTTTCATACTGGATGGCAAGATTTTATAATATGTTTTGGTTTCAATTTTTGCCTACCACGACTAGCTAGGGATAAAAGGTTTGCTGTTTTTTATTCTCATTTATAGATATAACGTCTAGAAGCAAAGACCAGTTAGTCCTAGGTACCCAAGGATTACAACTTTTTAGAAGTTTTCAATTTTCAGAAAACACCCTTGATATAGGGCCAGTTTAATGCAAAGAGTGTTTGTCCCACTCCCATCCATCCTTTCTTTCTTAAATGTACTGGCAGTCTGCATGTATAATACCTGGTCATATGATGAAGATTCACCAAAAATATTCTGTCACGTTTCTAGATATCTAGCCAGGAAATATTGATTGACCTAAATCACAACGTGTGGCCAGTAACTTTGATCCCACCTTACCAATTGATAGAAGCTCAGTTTAATACAAAAAGTGTTCGTCCCATCCATTTTCCTTTCTTAGGGCTTGTTTACTTAATGCTAACCGGAGCTGATTCGGTCAGCATCAAACTAGTTTACCAACACACTGTGACCCACAATTATGCTGATCGAGATGTTGGCTCAGTTAGGAACAGGTTGCTATTTGACTCGATCAGTGCTTCAGTCAACTCTTACCCAGACCCTTGGTAAACAACCAATTTCAGCCTGTGGTTACCCATATGAACAGCCCACTCTTTTACGCGGTTAGCACCTGCCCAATTTGTGTTGATAAACGGCCCCTTAGTCATATGAAGAAGATTCACCAAAAACATTCTGTCACTTTTCTAGATATCTAGCCAGAACATATCATTTGGCCTAATTAAATGGCAGCCACTAACTTGGGTCCCACCTTACAAATTGTTTCCAAATTGGCCGCAGGTGGAACTGCTAGAATCTACAGAAACTATGAAGAAATTATCAAATGTGGGACCTCCATAAGGAACGGGGGAGGTAAGGCAAGAGGATATGCTCTTAACAGTGGTACTTGGCTTATAATTGACCATGTAAAGACAAAGTTAACAACATAATAAAAATAAAAACTCCATTTAGCATTCTATCAAGATGTATGGCAGTTCTGGAAGGAAAACAATTGCTTTATAGAATTTTGGTACTTGAAGATGACTTTTAAGCCATTTCTTATTTTTGGATTCAACAGCAAGTTAGTTCTCCTCATCTCAATTCAACAAATCATTTTTGTTATAGCAGTTTTCAAGGCATCATATGCTCAGATTGATGGTTTAACTTTCTCCTGACGTAATTTCGAAACTCAAGCTAACAATTATTCACCTCCTTGTTCTTGTTCTTTAATGTAACATAATAGATTACATGAAATCCCACTACATCGAAATAATTGTAACTCAAAATTAACTGAACCACAAAAACTAACCAAACTTCAAACAAAACCTCACAAATCATGAAGTCTATGATCAAAACACATTAATCATTTCAACAATTCAAACAAATAACAAAAACACACACGGAATTTGCGCCAAAACTCAGTAAAATCAACAATGATACGGAATTCAGTTAATATTGTATCCTCATAAGCAAATGTACAACCGTTATTTATTGAAACTTTCAATGGTGAGAGATAAATAAGCAATAAGAATGTGAGAGGTAGAGAAGGGAAGTCTTGCCGGCGACCGGAGAGAGACAGAAATGACGATGAGCCGATAGAGCTCCGATGGATAACCTTTTGAAAATTGAGCTACCCAATAGATAAATGCCTGAGGTCGCATAAACCCTGGGAAAAGGGTATTTTCGGAATACAATAATTTGGAGGGAGTGCAACTGCAAGCGACCGTCTTATGGTAGTTTTAAACAGAATTAAATACAATTATTATTTTAGTTTTTTCAAAATAAATATTTAATTTCAAAAATCTTAATTATAATTAGAAAATTCATATTTCTATAATTAAAAATAAAATTATCATTTTATTAATTAAAAAGTATAATAATTACATATTTTTTACATTACGTGTTTTTTTTTTCATCATAAACATTTATTTTACTTTAAGGTTTTCGCTTCTGTAACAAATTATCGTTGAGAACGATATTTTTTAGGTTTTTTTTTATTAACCAGGATATCCAACTTGCTATTCAAGCCGACCAATCGTAGGGCGACCACCTGCTTTGCATATAGCCCGGAATCACCGTATTTGAATCTCCGTGGCCACAAGGGGATTTTTATTTCTCCTTAGATTTGAACCTGGTACCTCCTAATACTTTTAACCTTTAGAGCCAAACTCAAACCAATCAGACACCACCTTTATGGTTAGCTTTACTTTGTTTTTTATGTTCATGAATGAAATATTAAAATAGAAAAAATGACAAAACGACCATTTTGTCATCTTGGTTACGGAAATGGATGATGGATATTTGCATGAGGGACCAAATTTGTGACAAATTGCATATATAAAGGTTTATCTTGTAAATAAAGATAAAACAGTAAATCCATAACAAATCACAAACCATAAGGACCAAATCCGTAATTTACTCCGACATGACATATATCACATTTTATTTAAACAATATTTGTTGTATTTTAATTTCTTGTTCATTTTTGACAATCTATATTTATTATATCTATATTATATATTATAAAGCATTTGATAATAACTCTTAAAAATCATTTTTATGCATAAAGTACTGTATATTGATACATATTACTTAAAAATTCAAGATTACAAGTAAATTATGCATAAGTACAACTTATTAAAGCTTAATGTTTGAATTCGTGTAACTAACTGCAGATAAATATAATCAAATAGAGAATAAACATCTCATTTTAAAATATAAAAAAATCTAAAATATAATTAGGATAGTTATCAAATTCTAACAAAATAATTAATTATTATCTTTATAAGAAAAAAAATTATGCATAGATACAACTTATTAAAGCTCCATGTTTGAATTCGTGTAACTAACTACGGATAAACATAATCAAATAGATGGTAAACATCTCATTTTAAAATCTAAAATATAATTAAAATATTTATCAAGTTCTAACAAAATAATTAATTATTATCTTTATAAGAAAATTATATTATTAACCAAATATAAATTACTTCGTTATTGAACCTAATTAAGTTATAATAAAAAAAATTGAATTAAAAAATTACACAAAAAATGAGAAATTTTAAATAGTTAATTTGATACTAATATCATATATTTTTGTCAAATTTTATGATATCTTCAAATTTATATTTTATTGAAAAATAAAAACATCATCGTCTTTTCCAAAATCACATAAGACCATATTATAACATCGACTGAGATATATTATAACATCGATTGAAAAATAAAAACATCATCTTTTTTTGTTAACTTGATGGAGCACACATAAATTTAAAGCGGATGTATCTTTAACATTACAAAAAGTTTCTACTAATAGAGTACGATAGAGCAAATGCAAGTGCAACCTGTATGGCCTCTTTTTACCTAAATGGATGTCCAATTAGTCGTATGGAAAATGTACCACTCGACTAGACATGTCCAAAATTAAAGAAAAATTAAAATTAAGTTGTCATTTTCCGTAAAAACATAAATGGTTAAAAATGAAAACCGGAAGAAAATAGGTTACTATTTTATGCAAACTTTCATCAAGTTTTCTTACAACACTCGTTTGACTCAAAAGTCAACAAACCAAACGAGTACAAAGCTTAACTTGTAAAATCAAACGAGCACAAAGCTTAACTTGTAAAATCAAAGGAGTGCAAGATATTGTCTGTTTCTGATAGAGAAGGTATCAAGTCTCTTGTAAGATAATATTTACTCCCCTCTCCAACCAATATGGGATCTCACAATCCATCTCTCTCAAGGAGCCTAGTGTCCTCACTGACACATCAGTCCGATTCTCGGCTCAGATACCATTTATAACGTGACTGATCAACCGTACCAGATATTATCTTTATCCACATATGAACTCATGGTTTTTAAACGAGTATGATAAAAAAGTCTCGTATAAAATAACCTTTATTCCTCCCAACCAATGTGGGATCTCACACCATTACAGTTAAACTGATCTACTTTCATCAAGATACAAGTGAATCTTGCATATATAAATTCATCGGTCCAAGGCATCCTAAACAACCCGAATCAGATTTTTAGAAATACCACAAGCATTCAACTTAACATTAGCACGATACGTGAATAAGATCTCCATAATCGCGCTGGTAGCCAAGATCTCAAACGAACATAAGAAGCCTACAACAGGGGCAAAAGTCATTTTCTAGTTGATCATCCTACCACAAATCCATCTTATAGTGCACAGAAGCAGGAAGACAGAGAATATGCAAAAACCAGCAATCAAGTTTCAAGATTTGCTACAAGAAAATGACCAAGAAAACTTCCATAAAATCTGCAGCCATAACATAACGATAAAGCATAACTTACTACAAGCAAATTACTGAATCCCGAACCAAACAAAACCAAACCAACCCGGTGCCAGTATATCCCACCTGACGTTGGGATCTAGGGAGGATGAGATGTACACAATAGATCTGACCTCCATCCGAAGAGTAGAACTATTTTTCAATGGAGACCCCTGACTAGTGCATTGTGTGGGAAAAGGAGATGCAGAATACATCTTCAGAAAAAGAAGATAAGAAAGCATTTGAAAGAAGTTGAAAACAATGCAGAGAGTGATAAATTTTGCGAAACGAGTTAGAACTAAGCATCCAAAAATCAAACATACACAGAAGCAGGTACATAAAAACATGACCGAACGTATGATACCCCTGAATCCTGAACCATGCTGCATATAAGAAGCTTTTTGTTCTATAAAGAATCGGGGCAAAAGAAACCATGAGAAAGCCATAGAACACAAGACAAAGCTTCAAGAAAGTACCAAACTTTAAGACATTAGATACCATCAAATACAATACAGAACTCCACAGACGGAACAATCTTAAAAGCATTTACAAGACCATCAAACACACGATAGATAAGACAATCCAATAGACTCTGACATAAGACTGAGTTTTAAAGTTCTAGTTTTGAACAAAACCCCGGATATTCAGAAGACGATGGCTGTGCTCAGTAGCTTTTGTATAAGATCACCTCCGATGCTTTATTCTTAAGACCCGGATCTTTGCATTGCATATCTGACAGAACAAATCAAGAAGTGTGTGAAGAGAAACAGTATTTACAATCTAGAGAGAGAGAAAGAGTGAACAAAATGAAAAGCTAATCAATTCTTTTTACACTGTTTCAGTAGAAGCAAACGAGTTGGGGGTTTTCACGGAAACAGACAGTCTACCCAAATGGGGTGGAGGAGGCATTTTCTTACATCCCACCCTCTCCAAATCTTACCTCCGGGTGGGATCAATTGGGTTAGTTTGGTTTTCCAGTAAAGGGTGACCTTTTTGGGGGGTTATTTAGCTAAATGACCTTCTGACAGGTTTCTAGACATTCTTGTGTTGGAAGAGGCATTATTTTATCGGCAGAGGAATTCTCAAAACTTGTCAGAAGGTCGTGGGATTTAAAAAAAATCTTATCAAAAACTCATTTAGCTAAACAGCCCCACTTTTTTTGGCCTGGTCAGGTCCCAGGCTGCTCCTCGGTCCCAGGCCTTTGCTCACTTCTAGGATGCCTGATACATGGTTAATAATACAAGCAAGCTAGGTTGAACACAATTGTGTATCAAAAGTGAACTTGATGACCAGAAAATGAACAAAATGAAGAGAAAATTGAAGGACAATAAAAATTAAAAGCGATAAAATAAACACCACGAAGTACAACTCAAATGTCACATTCAATGCCCATGAAGGTGAACACAATTGGGTGCAATCATACCAGCACTAATGCACCGGATCCCATCGAAACCCCGCAGTTAAGGTGAACACGATTGTATATTAACTAGACTCCAGATTGACTTGCACTTAAAAATCTCAATCACTAATGAACTTTGAAAACATCATTCAAGGGATATCAGTCCATGTGTTCTGATTAATACAAAGAACTCCACCTGGCTCTTGGAGGTGGGCTTTTGAGAGGCTTACTGCTAATAAAGGTTTTTTGTTCAAATGCAAACAGCAAATTAAGAAGTAAATGGATTTTGTGAATTACAAACTACAACTCCTATGACCTCAAGATTTCACCGAATAATTTAGTTTTAAAAGGATTGTAAAATAGATAACGAGATCAAGTGCTTTACCTCTCAAGATGAGTTCCCACAGCTTGAGATCTGGTCCCTAGAAATACGTTGAGGTGTTAGAATCAGAAGAATAGTTTCAATTGCCAATCAGTATAGCATATGGACTAATAAGATCTTCTCTTTGATATAGTTTGATGGCCAAAGGTATTGTCTTGAACTAGTGAATAATATCCAATAGAGCAAAAAATGCGCAATAAAAAAAGGGCAACTTCACTAGGGGGAGTTTGAGAGGTTTAGGGACTGTTTGGTTGGTTATCCATTAAGTCCTGTATGGATAAAGTTGTATATGTGGATTAATCTGTTTGTATAGATTGGGAAGGTTTTTGTTTGGGAGATTTTACTCATATATGGAAGGATAGTGTTTTTTAATTGGGAGGGACAGGTGTGGAAAAATCTTGGCTTTCTGCATAAAGCTCTCCCCTAGAAGCTTACTGAATAAGCTAGTTTTTATATCATTAAGCCGCTACCAAAGAGTCATGTATAGCTGTCCAAATAAGTTGTGTCCCCCATTAAGCTCATTAAGCTTCTAAACAAACAGGCCCTTATTGTGTGATGAGGGAGGTTAGAGAGCTGGTAGATAGGTTACCACAGTTATCTGATAAATAAAGTGTTGTGTGCTTTTCCTTACCCTTTCTTTGTTTCATTGCACCTTCTTACTACTTTTTCTCTCTCTGTTTCTTTCTTTCTGTTACTCTTTTATCTTCCACCTTTTCACTTACACTTTTGCACAAGGCGGGGGTCTTCATGTAAACAGATGGTTGACCCTGTGGGGTGGAGGATAAGTCTGCGTATATCCCACCCCCAGCCTGCTTTTGAATGGAATATATTGGGTTTGTTTGATTTGGTTTAAATAGCCAATTCATATGTGGGGTCAACAATGATCAAGAAAGGATTGGGGTTAACACTGACATATTAGCTCCTATGGTAAACCAAACCAAACAAACATAGTATACCCCACTCAAAAGAAAGGAGGTGGGAAAGTAGCATGTAGTCAGGCTTTACCTCAACAGCTAGGGTCAGTATGTTGTTTCTGTGAAGACCCCCGACTCGTGCACGACGCAAGGTAAGTGTAAACAAGCAATAAGATAGGGAATATATCAGGTAATCGGGAAATATAACAGGTAGGAGAATGATTCAATTGTGTTCATGCAATACAAGTGGAACAAATGTATAAAGCAACTTAAAATATTTGAGCAATGTAAAGCAGACACAATAAAACAATGATAAATATCAGATAGCATAATTAATTACATTATAAATGGAAACCAAATAACAACATAATTAGAACCCACCTTGCCACTCTTTGTGCTACCTGTTTCCGGCCTCTTTCTCTTCAGTTTCCTGCAAACATGTGGAGATACAAGACTTGGCACATACGTAAGGGACCCTACAAACTCTGGAGTTTTGACAATCCACTTTTCATGACAGAAGGACCTCTTATTTGGGATGTAGTGCTTTAAATCTTTCAATCGGTGCACAGCTTCATACTTAGTCTTGCTTTCAGGATCTACAAGCTCCCAAGACTGCTTCACATTGTAGTTATTCATTACCCATATGTTGTATGGAACCATTTCACTACGATATGCACAGAGACGGTCATCCAAGGTCCCCAAACGCATTGATGAGTAGCCAGCAATACCAACCTCATATAACACATGATCAGGTTGCGGGATCTCCTTAAGTTTATCCTCAGATAAATCAAAAGAAAGAATTGCTTTTTTATTATCATGTTTCGCAACCCAATGAAGTGCCCCATTGCAAAGGATACCAACCCTACTGAAAAGAGTATAATGAAAGTCTCCAATAACTTTCCAGACATTAGATTTTAAAGTGAACACTTTAAAACAGGTATAACCCCTAAATCTTGTGAACCCTAATACCACCTTGTAGTCATCCGTGGATGGATCATAACCAAACCCCCCAATAAGATATCCGATTTCAGGGATATGGGGATTTTTCAGTTTATTCACCTCTCTGGTTTCAGGATTGACAAGTAAAATTTCAGAATGAGAGGGAGAAACACATACCAAACCATTGGCAGAACCGAATAGATGACATTCACGAGCATCAAAAAAGATATCATCACGCTCATATAGACGATGCCTATAGCAACAGGGAATAATTGACATAACGATTCTCCTGTTTCCGATTCCATCATCATTGCGATCACGGTTATGACTATTTTTTAGATGGCCTTTCACAAAATTAGGGTCAGAGATCAACGAAAGCCATGATTTAGAAACGCTCCTGCAACGGATCAGATCTTTCACACTCAACCTTATCAGGATTTGCTCAAGGACTTCTTCGGGGAACTGTGCCATCGAAACCCTAGGACCAGTGAGCCGATTTGGAAAGAGAGAGCGGGGGGTTGTGTGGAGAATGTAGACTTCTTTTTATACTACATTATTTATTAGCACGCATATAAAGACAAACTAAGTCCTGGAAATCTTTACTTTTACCGCATAGAGATAATTTCCTTTACTGGGGGTACCTTTTGCAAACCTACTACATATGCATGTGGCTTCAATACAACAGATCTAATACCAAAATATGCTTCTTGATTAGTGCCATTTATAAATAGAGATCATCTACGGAATCTGTGAACTCCTTTGACGCATAAGCAAAAACATCATCGCTTCTCATCAAGTAATCATACAGGTTAGAAGTACATTAGTAGTATATATGCAATTTCCATATGATTAACTTTCAACGCCTTGAAATTAACGAAAACCAAACAAACCCAGTAAATCCCATACGGAGTAGGGTTTGGGGAGGATAAAATGTAAGCTGACCTTACCAAGGTTCTAGACATTGACTGTCCTCACTACCAAACATAGAAACAGCCTTGGTAGACCAGAACTCTCGTTCCTCGGCTACATGCAATGAATCAATATTTGCAGCTTCTTCATCATCACTGTTATCTGAACCATAACTGTCAGATTCAAACAAGTCATCCAAGCTGTCCATAAGATCATCAGTCTCATCATGGCTGTCATGATCTTCGGTAATTGTTGTACTTCCATAACTAAAATCGTTATCAATTCCACGCCTTATCTCTCGCCGCATCCATTTCCCTTCCCTAACCAAGTCCAGTAACAGATCTTTTATGATTGACGATTCATCCTTTTTCAAAAGCGTACCATTGTCATCATAGCCCTCTACCAAAAAAACTGAGTCCCTCTGGCCCTTCAAACTCACATAAAATAGTTCTGGGTGCCTCAAAAGCATAGCTCTCAACTTGTTTGGCAGCCCAAACTCTTTCCTGAAATGTGTCAAGTGATCAACTAATGTCCGCTTCTCAACCATCATACCTAATATCTCCCTTACCACATCACAAGCCCTCTTCTCTGCCTTGATGGATTCTTTTGGAAACTCTCCAACCTTTGTATGATACGGGCACACGTCTGTTATCTCTCTGAACTTGATCAAAAATTCCTCATGATGTCTCCTCACATTGCGCCCCTTACGAAGCCTCAGACGTTTGAACTTTAAGGGCCTATCTACTATCAAGCCAAGAGGTTTGACATCAGGAACAGGCAGAGGTTTGGCCAGAGCAATGTCGCATGACACCAGCTCAAGCGCACGCCCGTAAGAGGTGTCAACAGTCTTAAATTTGTCTGGGTACTTGTTACACAGGCGGGATCGGAAATTAAGGGGGAGTCCAAGATCTGGGCCAATGTGAACCAATTTTGACAAAAGGAGCCTGTGATGAGAAGAGAGCATAAGAAGTTTCTGAAGTTTGTTGGCTAAGGAGTTGGACATTGCAGTTTTGAGTTTAGATTCTTCACTTGCAAGAGATGCGGCAGCTGGGGTAAGACGCACACAGAGTTGGGGAAGTGTTTTTGCTGCATTGAGTGGCGTGGGAGGTAAAGGTATGGTGAAAAGTTCAAAAATGGTTGGGTAACGATGGATCATAGATACAAGTGATCGAGGCTTTGATAGGGATAGGTAGGACCTGCATTTACCAAGAATATGAAGCGGCATATAGTGTTTTGGTTTAGAAAGGAGTAAAGTTTTCAGCTTTTGTACAAAACGGACCTTGTTCTGCTTCACCACATGCTTGTCTAACGATGGATCACGAACATGTTTGATGGATGCAACTATGGTAAGAGAGAGGTTTCGTGACTTCCAATGCTTGTTATAACCTCTCTTATTGGTTTCAGACTTCCAGAAGGGAACCGAAGAAAGGAACTCTGATTTCAGACAAGTCAGGGGTCTTTTATCACTCGTATACAACAAAGCATGAGGTGGAGGCAGTTCCATATTAAGGCATGCAAAAACCTTAGTGGAAACAACTTCAAATCCTGCAAAAGGTGAAATAAGATTTTATCTTTTGGAAGATGCTGTACCCTTATTTGTAAATGAAACATGCCTTTGGGCATCCAACGTTAACTGGAGTAAATGATTACATGAACTTATTGAACAAATATACATCACAAAACATAAGAAAAGAAGGCGAAGGTGTAGCTTTTATATTGATATGAAATCATACAAGTAACAGATTAAAGCAAAAAGATATAAAGAAGCACTTCAAGATATTAACCATCATCCATCACATAGTTTGACAGATCTCATTTTTTATTCGAATGATTTCTGTATATTAAGCTACCCAGATGTTTTACGAGTTTATATTAGATGTTCTTTTACACCATCTAAACTGAAGCAAACTACTAAATAAAAAGACCTGACTAAGCAAAAGACAAAAGGTCTAGCTTTTAATATTTACATGGAATCATACAAGCCACAAGTATAGCACAAGAAATTATCATCCATCATATAGTCAAAAGGCTTCTATTTACTCAATTTATTTAAGTAAATTAAGCTACCCAAATGCTTCGCTACTTTGTATAAGATGTTTCTCTTACTACCCAATCAATAGCCCCCATGTTCATGGTTGTAAGCATACACAGAAGTTACAAAAGAGGTTCGATATGTCAGTGCAACATTCAAATCCACCCCCCCAAACCACCAAAAAAAAAGCAGAAAACCAAAATTTCAGACAAAGAATTACAGATTGGTACGAAGACTCACACGGATTCTTCAGTGAAGAGATAAACAGATCACACATAGCGATAGGGCACAATCAAAAACGACTGTTATGTGAAGTAAGTGAGTGAAGATTTTCATCAAAAACATGGTGGACATTAACCACTTACACCCAGAACATAAAGTTAAAAACCCAAATAACAAGCATCAAAACCGAAAGTTAACCATGTAATCTTCTAAAAGAGTTTATAGTCTTGAACTTACTCTCCAGCGATGATAAGAGCTCGAATCCCCGCCGGAAAGTTCAAGACACTGGATTTCTTCCACCCAAATAATATATATATCCACCACAACCCGATGGTCCAGCGGTTACCAAAAAAACAGATAATTTTAGCAAATTTCTGCCTAAAAGTTCGGAACTTAAAAATGAAATGCGTTTGCCGGGAGTCGAACCCGGGTCTATTGCTTGGAAGGCAATTATCCTAACCGTTGGACTACAAACGCAGCTCTGTGATGAACTTTCTTTGTACATATATATGATTTCAAATAGTAACCTTGAGTATCTCCAAAAAAGTTTCATAACAAAAAAATATACATTAATTATATTAATAAAATATTATTTTCTTTTTTAAAGATTTTTATTTGTAAAAAGAAAAAAAAATTCGTTAAACAATCATTTTAAAATTTGTTGAAGATGCTCTTACTAAAAAGGTTGTTTACCGAAACGCTTACTTGTAAGCACTTACCGGTAAGATTTTGGTATATCAAAACGGCATCGTATGCAATATTTTACCCTGATAAAACGCTAATCAGGAAAGAATGGTCATCCTGACTTACCGAGTACGACTCTAGGTCTTTGTCATTACTCTTACAGGATAAGATCATCAATCCTTGCAATTTACATCCAGGAAGATAAGTGTTTCAGTCAAAGACCTTTCAGCCTAGTGGTAAAGGCTTGGACATGGCATAGTCATGAACCCGAGTTCGAGCCCTGGGAGGGGAGTATTGGCGACATTTAAGTGGGGTCATGTTTAGCCTCCAAATTTGCCGGGGATTAGTCGGGCTTTGGCCCGGACACCCTTACAAAAAAAAAAAAAAAAAAGATAAGTGTTTCAAAAAGTGCTTATCGAGTAATCAGATAAACGACCTCTAAATAAGCCTACTACTAATTTATCACAAGTCATGTAGCTTGAGATCTTAACTTTGAATTTGGGATTACAATATTATTTTCGTTTAAACTTTGTAAGACTTGAAATCTTAACTTTGAATTTGGGATTACAAGATTCTTTTCATTTAAATTTTGAATTAATCGTTGACGTCATGAAAACTGGGAAACCACTATTTTGTTGCAATCTATAAAACTTAATCGTGTATCACTTTCATGTGTTTGTCAAAACAAAATTTCAAAAGGTACAACTTCTTACTAATTTACAAGGTTTAAACAAGGTAAATATAGTTAAGAAATGGGCATCCTTAACTGATCATCAAGGACCAGTCCAATCAAGAACCCTTTCCAAGAATGAGTCTAATAACACGGGATAGGACAAGACAGTACGATACAGAAAACGTGTTGCCCCATGTTTAACGTGACATCAGGCTTGGACTGAGTGGGAAACAAATGCGTAACTTTTTGTCGCACCAAAATAGCAAAACAAAAACTAAGAAGATGAGATTGGTAAATTACTAAATTACTCATATGAAATTAAAACTATTTGTTCAGTCTTGTCAAGTGAAAGTTTTAAGACAATAAATAAAATTTAAAGAATGGATAAAAAGTAAAGGGGAGGCGTATTTGATGTTTTTAAAAGAGAACTAGATTTTACTTTGAGAGCATATTAGGAAAATACAGTAATGTTCCACCTTGTTCCATGAAGTGAGGATGGAACACACATGTTTCACTATGCTCCTGTCTACCCTAATTGATGAGAGCTCTAATCAAGAGAGGCTAATTTAGGACCGGATAGGCCCAAACGGCTAAGAAGATAACATCCCATATGAAAGTAGTATCTGAAAGGTGGGATGTATACAGATATAATTTATCCCAAAAAGTAAAACAGTTGTTTTCATACACACCCTTTGTGCTTTCTTTTTGTGGCATTTCATCAAACACCTCCTATGCATCTTTCATTTGGACCTGTTTTCTTCCATGCCTTTTCCTACTCAAACCAAAACTGCTCCACTTGTTTGGTTCAGGAAACATGAGATAATACATTAACATCCACATGAAGGTTTTCCAACTCTAATTTCAACCCGACACACACACCAAAAACGGATATCTCGAACCTCTGATCATAAAAGAAATAGCATTACTTAATACTCATATGTCCACTCGTTTAGCGCAAAACCAAAAATATGATGAGGGTGCCCCAGATGGTGGCATCAAACCCGACTTCACGACAAAAACGTGCTGAACCCATAAAATATATAAACAATAAAATATGTTTCTAGAAACAAAGGTTGACAAGCATAGTAGAAAACTCGGGAAACACATGATATTCATCTATTGTCATCAACTTCCCACCACTACGTGCAAGTACACGATTGAAATTCTACCCGTGTAGAATTAAACCTGAAAATTTACATTATAAAACGCGTAAAGTGGGTTATGAACTTATAATCACCTACATGAAGCAGCTTGAAGCTTTCTACCTGATAATTTACAGTATCATGGTTCTGTGTGCATGTTCTCTTGACGGTGATGCAGCTAACATTCAGCAGATTGTAGCGTCTTTCAGACGAACTCATCTTTGACCCTTTATCGTAGAAAAGGAAGTTGGCCTTGGCATGCCCATCAGGGATAGCTTGTGACTCAGGAACATTTGTTCTCCAGATGGATCAGCGAAATAGTTCTGGAAAAGACCACATAATGAACTTTGCAAAAATGTCGCTTTCCAAGAATTCTATGTGTGCAGCTCGTCCAATCATGGTGTTCAAGTTTCGGCCTTGTAATGAGGTGTCAAAGTTGACGTCACATCGCATAAATGTGCGTTGTGCAGAGGATGGGGAGCGGATTTGGTCCAAGCAGTTGTTAAGCATCTCGAGAAAAAGTTTACCCTTCTTTGAGTAGTCCGCTGACGATGCTTGGCACATCTCCATTCGAGCAGAATGATAAGGAACATAACCATCCTGGAAAATATGAAAGAGATTTAGTTTAGAGTTATTAACTTCTTAAACTTAATATTTCGCTTTATTTCTTGATAATGCCAACAATCAGTATACATGAATGAGACCAACTGTGTAAATGTAAATGCAAAAGGGAGTATGTGCCCCTTGTGGTAAAAAAGCTCATTTTGTGTGACGCTTTTTTTCTGTTTGTCTACATTTCGCTCTTCACTCAAGAAGGATGGTTTCTTTGCAATGAAAGAATGTAAGTGGCAGGTTCAGATGAGAATCATAAGTATTTTGAGAACCGGGGAACCACCTATTCATGAATATTTTAGGGTTATTCATCATGAATAATACATGAAATAGTTGGTTCCCACATTCTCAAAATATTTACGACCCTCATTTGAATCTTGAGAGAAAAGAACTGTTATGGGTTCCGGTAAAAGACATTGTTGGTGGTGGAATTTTGTCTTTGCCAGCAATAGGTATTATTGAATTATTGTGCAGTAAGAAGAAATATAAAATCAGAAAGATACTGATCAACTTTCTAAACCACCATGTCGTAAAGTAGTACCTATTGTTCTTGTGATTTGCAAGAATGAGCAATATTTAGAAATAGTAAAAATATAAATGCAAAAAATCATTATGCTTAATAATTTTTCTCCAAAATTCTGAAGTCTAGTGTTCTTTTTCGTATTTTAATAAGAACGCCCATTTGTGTGCAATGAAAAGTCAAGTTCAATGGTTCAAAAAGCTGATCACTCGTTAAGAAAAGCCAGTTTCCATGATTGTTGCAGACAAGTGGATGAGCTCATTAGTTGTAACGTCCATCTAAAAATGAGAAACAAATACCTGAGGAGAAGATAGCAGGATTATGTTCTTAAAACTTTCCAACGTCTTTTGCTGAAAGTAAAATAAGATGAAATCAGAACTGTAACAAAAAAGAAGCAAGTAAAGCAAACGAAACTGGTGCCACCTTTGTAGCCATCACCAGTTTCAAAGCCTAAAGAGAGAATTTGAGAACTAAAAAGTAGGGGCCCTTTTCCAATCGCTAACCGGGTAACTGCTTACCATGTGTCACTTGCCTTAGCGGATGGGGCAGGGACCTAGAATCTTACCCAGTAAGTAAGAGAGAAGACTCTTATGATAAGCGCTTATCGTAAGAGTAAAAGACGCTTACCATCCATTTTGATGGCCGAGAATGTTATTAGATAAGGTAAGTGAGGGTGGTGACTATTGCTGGTAAGCTCTTACCCAGTAAGTGTTTGGTAAATGGCCCATAACTTTGACCGTTAAAATGAGTTGTTTCTATTCAGAAGTACTGACTGTACCTTGGAAAGTTTGTAGAAGAAAGTGTTTTCTAGATCTATATCATCAGTGAAAGTCAGTTGATGAATGCATCGAGTATTCTTAAGCTTCTTCAACAGCCATAATCCAGAATTGAAAAGAGAATTTGAACTGTAGAGATAACCTAAATGTGGCCCCGAAACAGAGATGTATGTATTCAGGTACCTATGGTACGGCTCCATGATGCTCTCTGCGATTTTGAATTATCAAATACATCAATAGAAGTATAGAACCATAAGCAATCCAATAAAAAAATAAAGAGATGTTGTAATTGCTTTACAAAGCAAAATGTTTATGTACCTGCTAGAGCCGTTCTTATAATCACATTTCCAATGGAGTGACCAACAAAGCTGAGCTTAACGTTTTTTAAGCCACCGGATCTTGAGGCTTTATCCATCTTCTTTTTAACAAAAACAATGACTTCTTGGGCCAGTCTTAATCCCATATCCCTAAAGTCCTCAGAAGTCTTGTCTTCATTGACCTCCGACATTAGAAACTCGATTTTCGGATCTATCAGAAGCCATTGATTCCGCACAAGTCGTAAATCCAGATGATGTCCCTGCTTATTGTTTTCATGTCATGAAGAATTAGCATTTCTAACATTAGAAAATTTTGTCAGCACCCACCTTCTACACCAAAATTGAAATGCTTCAGGCAGAACAAAATGTAGTGCCATGAAGTAACAGACTTTTTGGTTTAGTAACCCCAAGAGCGGATTAGAGGAAGGAGGGGGGCCCACTTGGATATTTTTCTTGAGAGCAGCAAAAAAGCACAAAAAGGACTAGAAGAAATTTATGGATAAAATGGGACATTGTAAAGAACACAACATGCCTGAAAACCATGAACAAACACAGCAATCTTCAAAACCCGGCCCTTCTGCTGATTGCCAGAGAAACTTGAGTCAATTTCTGGAAGCATGCCATTAGTATCTTTTGGGTCCATGTTCCTGAAGTAAGAATTTCCACTGGGTGAATGCAATGGTGCATTTACTACACGTTCTACGATTATGATAGGTATACGTGAGGGATCCCCAAAAATATGAAGGTCTTGGATTGAACGATTGTTTATCTGCATATGAGTGGAACAAGCTTATGGTTTCCCAGGTAAAGGAAGTAGGATAATGAAGCCTCTGAGAAAGCTGGCTTACCCTCATCTGTGCAATACTACGACGGTGGAGCTCAGCACGCATTGCTGCAGCCTGGGAAGACTAAAAAAGAAAAAGAAGAAAGAACCATTAGGTCTATCACAAAATGAGTTTCCAGAATATTTACTCAAGCCTAGCACTAAATTGTAATACGATGTTTGTGCTCTGTGTAACCACAAGAGTGGTGCCATATTGGTTTGAGTTTGGGCTCCAAAGGTCAAAAGTGCCTGGAGGTCCCAGGTTCGAATCCAAGGAGGAATAAAAATTCCCTTGTGGCCACGGAGTTTCAAATGCGGCGACTTCGGGCTACCCGCGAAGCGGGTGATCGTCCTGGGATTAGTCGGCTCGCATAGCAGATTGGATATCCAAGTTAATAAAAAAAATGTGGCAAGTTAATGTGCAGAAACAGTATTACATCTTCAGTTATCTTCCGAAGAACAGGGAGTTTCCCACGAAGACCATGGTACAAGGAGTCATCAATCTCGCTTCGGGTAGATTGGTGAGGCATCTCTACTTTAGAGTACACCATCCATATTGACCATTCAGCTCTACGATCGATAGCCCAGGAATTACGTAAATGCTCCAAAACCTTTGTTTTGTTAGCCCTGGTGTGCAGTAAAAGAAACAATTATGAAAATGACAGTACCACATACATTTTTATGTAATGCTCATCTTTTATTGATGATATTTAGAAACCAATAATGCAATGTAAGCAAATGAAATTTAAATGGTGTGGGAATGCTAAAACTTTCTCGAGTTATATATGCACTTGATTTCTGCATAAAGAGACACATGAATTGCAGAGTAACTTTTGCATCTAAAAAACTCTAGGCGGCTTTATTTTTCTTTTTTTCTATGAATGATATTGGTAACCCAAAGCTTATATAGGATGATATAATATCCATCTTATCTTTGTATGCAGCATCATAAGCAAAAGATATACTACACCAAGGAAGCAGATGCAGCTTTCTTTATTCCTTGCTAAGGCCATAACCCTCGACCCCATGAGGGTTTATCGAATAGTGAACTTTTTCGACAGTTAACAAAAAATACATAGGATATTTATTTTATGAATCTTATCAGGAATTAATATGTTGCATTAAATTCTAGTGACTGCATGTGATAAACGGGAAGCTGAAAGTGCCAGTTACACCTCCATAATCTACCTCTCTATTGGCCAGAAATTTTCTGGTTCTTATGTTCTTTTTTCACAAAAAGGGCCATTAGTAAGGCTCAGATGGAGTTGGGGGAGGGGGGTAGAAACAGAATCAAACCTGTGAAAGTTCAGAAATGTGTTCCACAAGTAGTGCATTTGATCTCCAAGTGAATGAAAAAGACGGTAAAGTTCATCATTCTGTAGGGAATAAAGATCATCACTTGAGAAATCAAGGGTGCCATTTGGGATCTGTTCAAGGACAGAAGATGTGTAAGTCAAACTCAATGATAAATGTGCAAGTGAAACCACTCAGACGTCCAATCAAAGAACAAGCGAACAACCTTAGAACCATTGGCAGTCTCCATGCCCACTTCCGCAGAAGCAGCCAAGAACTTTGTCTCATCGTGTTGGGAAGCAAAACCAGTCAACTCAATTGTTTGATCAATTGCCGTGCTAAGATTTTGTAGCTCTTGAAGTAGACTTGCACGGGAAGTTAAAAAGGCCTTCACAAGAAAGACCTGTTTCAGTAGGACATGTTGAAACAGATTATAAGCAATTAAAGAAGAAGTTAATCTTTGCAAAAAATATAAATAACAATTATTTGTGTATGCCAATATATGCGGCGTGAGAGAAGAGGGTAGTATGATTATCAGTACACCCACAAGTAAGTCATCACAACAATTCTCGGCACATTAACAAAACTAAATACATAACCCAAAACTGATAAGAAATGCATACTTGAGTTTCCTTGTCGTACTTTTCACTGGTAACTTCTTCATGACTATGAGAATTGCTGCCACTAGAAAGGCGATACAGTTAGTTTAACTGCAGGAAAAAAAAATCTGATTGTCCAATAGGCAGCCTTGACCGTAAGAATCTACAGTTATATTCTTGACTGAAGCTACAAATTTTGCAACCAACCTGGGTTTCTTCATGGCATGAACACCGCCCTTCAGTAAGCTGATGTGCACACTCGTATCAACTAGCACGGCATGGAAAGCATCAAAGTGAACAGGACAATATGAATGCAGCCCAAGAAGAGCCTTGGGTGGAATTCGGAATTCGTGCACCGCAGCAGGGGATGCATCCAAAGAGTCCTGCATATTGGAGCTGCAGATGGAGCATTAAAAACACTATATCCAGTAAAGATCTCACTAAAAGAATAGCAAATTATTCTTTCCAAGTAGGAAAAATGTTTGGTTGGTACCGAAATGGAAACATTCCACGAGGTTAATACATAATGCAATACTAATTACTAACCCATTCTCCAAAACAGGTGTGTAGAGAAGCTCAAATTTCAGAATTACAGCAGATGTGATCGGACCCTGAAGATTGTAGGTGTTCATCAGTTCGCAAGATAATAAAGTGAGTAGGACAGAACTTCTCTGCCCATATTCATTTGACTAATTTAACCCACATGGAAAGGAACATCGCATCCCCAGGGCAAAAAGGGAGAAGAAAGTGCATGTTAAATATGTACCAAGTACAGAGGGGGAGAGAGAGAGACCTTAAATTTACCAAGAGATAAGTTGAAAGATATCATGACTGATAGAAGAATATCCTGTCTTGCATACCGAATCCGGAAAGGCTGTGATGAAAAACTATGGTCCGTGTCATCAATCTTCCAAACCCCCAACGCCTCGTCAGAACCAAGATCAGGAGCTGCAGTTCATACAAAAAATTTGCATGATATTAACTTCAGTTTCTCTCCTGATAATGAGGTAAAGGCCCTACATGGTTACATCTTGATATCTTGAAGGAAAAAAACCAAGTTACCAACCACAACAAAGTCACCGAAAAAAATTATTACTTTTGATAGTAAAAGTTGTACAATGTGCTCATTGTTCAGCCACACAAATAAAATTGCTCTGCTTATGATAAAAACATCCGGTCCAAAAATATATTGCAGACAATAAACGCAGACCCCTCGAATTATCTGAAGTACCATTTACAACAAATTTCTAGCAAGTGTCGATGACAAAAAAAATGGCTTGGAGAAAGCACCAGCTCCAAAAAAGATTACATCATTTGCTAAAGTTGAGAAAGACTTGGGGGACTTGAGTTGCATTGCTAGTTAAGTTGTTGATCAGAGGCATTATTGTGTAGCTCACTAGCTTGCAGGTTACAAACTTACAATACTGCTTTTTCCTTCTTAAATCAGAAGAATAATCTACATAACGAAAGCACAAGAGATATATCCTTTGCACTACCTATTAACTAGCTCTACACAATTGGGGAAATAACTTGACCATATGAAAGAATGGAAAAATATGCTCACAAGAATCATTGATGAAACGTTTGTAGAAACAACTTAAAATTTATCTTGAAGAAGTTATGTATCATCATCTGTGAGCATTCTAACATTTGGTGCAGAACAAAGGTTCAAGACTTTATAACTAAGTTCCCACTGTTGCTTGTTTTGTAGTGTTACAATTTTCAGTTAATTACTTATCTTTTGAAATATATTTTTCCTAGCATCTACCTTGAACATGGATGGTGTCAACCCAAATGTTTGCAAATGAATATTATTCCCAGCACCGTATGCTGCAGGAGAGGAGTGATGTAGGCAAATCACCTTTTTGGCGGTGGTCATTGGCCGTTAACCTACTAAATACCGCTACTCCTCTCCAGTTTTGGATTCATCATATGGCATGACATGGAGAATACTAAAAGATGCATACGTTGGAATTCAACAACTCAAGAGAAGCATATTAAAACTTTGACGACACAACCACCAAAGTCCTCCGCCACCCGAGGATAAATATGTATTTTTGGCAGTCCTTCACACATTCAAGTACTAACTATTTTCTGATATTCCGATTTCATTTCAGATGATAAAAGTGATTATGCCAGATAGCATAAGAATCCTCATCTTCTTTTCTGTTATGTCATATTCATCTGCCCGCTGGTGGTGTTGTCATCACCCTTATACCAGTTTGTTTATGACTGACTCCGGTTCAGCTACTCTTAATCTCCATCAGTTCATGGAGAGAAGGCAAGCAAAAGAAAAAACTCATCTTTGTTCTTAAATCTTATTAATCTACCCAGTTCCAAGTTAATATAATGTAGTCATGATCTGAAGATAATTTATGTGTTTTCTTACACTGGATTGGATTACAAAAGTTAACCTTATGAGTAATGAAGCTAGCTTAAGTGTGGATCAGATCAGCGATATGTGTTTCTACATAGTTACAACTAAATAACGTTATAAAGCTTGAAGCTGGATAATAACTGAATAAGATTTAGCAAATAAAAGATAATTAGTTAATTACATAGATGTGCACAATGAACTAAACAACAAAGTACCGTCGTACTGAACCACTCTTGAAGGGGTACCCAGTGAAGATGCGTAGTCACTATCTTCCCATCTCATGGTAATCTTGATCTGGTACCACCTGTATACAAAGAAAAAGATGCATCTATACTCTCTTTTCTTGAAAAAGCTGCACAGTTCCTACAGATATCCAGACTTTGACTCTGGTGTCGATCAAATAAACTTTCCAACTACAAACTTGGTATGGGATTTCTTAACTTTCAAAAAGATCTAATCCAACTTTGTGAAAACTACAGCAATTACATCCATCTAAACTTTGCGTTGGAAGTACTATGTTAGAGATCAAAGTCAAAATGCAGCTCTTTTTCAGGATCGAGGTAGTTCCATAGATTGATCAGCTAAGACAGTTCTAAAATGAACTTTCGCAGAAACATATAAACTGGTAATACATTAATCTTTACCCTTGCTGAAAGAGGTCTAGGTTATGAAACCTATGAATATAAATCGCAACTTCGTGAACGGCCTCCAACATTGACTTGCGACTTTGAGTACTTGAATGATGTTCCCCTGGTAGCGACAAGAGCTTCGCATCGGCCTTGGTTTTAGGTGTTTTCTGTTGATTGAAACCAGCTATGAACCATTTAAGACGGCGGAGCATAACTGATGATGATCTCTACGGTATTCGATGTGATTAGCATCCCTTCGATAAATTTTCCCTCAAAGAGAAAACCCTAAAAATTAGAGATTTTTGAAATCTGAAAGAAAGAAAAACAGACTGCTACGATAATTTTCAAGTTCTGTAAGAGTGTTGGAGAGAAGATCGTGAAGCAGACGACGACGGCGCCGACGAGAATCGAGCAGTTCGGCCGGCGAAGAAGGAAGACCTTGGTCTGCTCACGGGACGCAATTGATCAAATCTGAGATTTGAGTTGTTTATTTGGAAATTAATTTCAATATAAATTTTGAATTAAAAATAATTTACTTAAATCATTGTAGTTTGAAAAAACCTGCCATCATAAATGATACTGAAGGCAAGAATCTTTAAAATTATATTTTTCCTCATATTTAAAATTTAAATATTAAATAAATATTTTTAAATCCATAATTTTTATTTATTTTTTATTTTTTAAGTATTTCTTATACCAAGAAACCGTATTTTTTCCCGACCAAACAAGCACTGATTAATGATGTGATACAGCATTCACTACTATCAAAGAATCGGTCATGTCCTATTTCCTGGACCCAGGTGAGAACTTCTAGTAAGGTTCCTGCTACACGTTCTTTAACCGTTGATTGACCCGATCGTTGCAACATTGGATACGTCAAGATTGTACCATCTTCATCATGTAAGACCACACCCATGCCCAATCCCATAGATTGAGTTCCCGAGAACACCATCACATCACGATTGCATTTCAAGAATTAGGTCGGTGGGGTGTGCCATCTCGTACATGTAAATGGGATGTTTTGATATTGCTGGTGGCTTCTTCCATTCTGGACCTGCATCCACTCGAAAATAATGTCTCGGCCTTGCTCTACAATAAGTTGAGCGGGTTGTGCCTCTTGCCACCAGATCTATTGGTTCCATTTCCGCCAAATGCTCCAAATAACTCCCACAATTTTAGACCGAACAGCCTCCCCGAAAAACCTCCAAAGTTTTATGCATCCAACTACCAATGAAGTCATCATGAGTCATAGTATTTATGCACCGTTGTAAAAAACCCCTGCGTGTGCCCAACAATCTAAAGCATCAACAAATTCCTATAACAAGTGTTTACCATATTCGATCCCCTATTCGCAACATCCACATTCCTCCGGAACGGGGACCCAACGTCTCAACAAAGAGTCCCTTGTCAGGAGGGCATTCTTCGCTACTTGCCATGTAAGAAAAGATACGTACCCATGATCACCTTTAATCTTAAACTCATCCTTGAATCATGCTTGATACGATGATTGATCTGGTGCATCTTGATGCATCTCATCCTAATATACATCCAAAGGTGGAAATTTCTTCTTACGATTCTCAGCTTAACTCTTTTTCTCATCAGAACTCAACCCTTCATCCATATCCTCAAATTACATACACATAGTTCTTACCTCTTATTTCAGTTAGATACACCTTACAGGAGGGGGTTATCACGTATGAATAGAATTTACCTTAAGTTATTACAATTTAACTTAACAATTCATTATTTTAAGACTAAAAGGCAGTTTAACTTTTTTATTTTTCAACGGATATCATCCCTAAAATTCAAAAACTCTTATTTGGTCCCCCTATATTTGTCAATTCATAACGGTTTTGGTCTCTCTGTCTAACGACCCTTAACTTTTCCCGTTAAGTCCTGTTAAATAAGAGGTATTTTAGTCATTTTTACTATTTTCTTAATTTTTATATTACAATTAAAAATATTTTTATATTTTAAATTTTAAATTGTAAAAAAAAGGATAACAACTACCTTTCGTATTTCTTTTTTTGCTTTATAATTAAAAAATTGATAATATAATATAGTTTTTATTTTAATATAATAAAAATTATAAAAACGACTAAAATACCCCTTTTAGTTGGACTTAACGAAAAAAATTAACGATCGTTAACAAAAATATCAAAATCTGAGAATTGATATACACGAAGACTAAATCTGATTTTTTTTTTAAAGTTTAAGAAAGGTACAAGCATTAAATTCCCCTTGTTAAAAATTATATTTTTACAGTGGACTTATCAGCATTACGCTTGAGGACGAGACGACACTTGTAAAATCAATTGTTTGATTTAATATTTTAATTCTTAAATGTTATAGTAATTATTTTCAAAATAATCATCATGTTTTAATTCAATGATTGGATTTAGCTTTTTATGAAAAGAATGCTTGATTGGAGCATGCTAAATTTTCAATCACTTTTCCTTTGTTTTTGGGTTTTAAAATAATACTGAATAATTAAATATAGATAATCAGTTATTATAAAATACATCTCGTATAAAATAAGGTCTAAATTTAATTCCGTTTCTAAAATATTGTTAATTAAATAATTAGATCTGAACATAATAATAATAATAAAAACTTCAAGCTTTAAATGATTAATTCCAAAACCTACATTCAAACATATGTTTAATATGTTAAAAGATGTCGTTTTGAATCCATGTTACATCTTATTCAAGTCTCAATATATTACTAAATAAATTAATATTTAAAATACTTTTTAGCTATTAAATATAATTAAATTCATCAATTGATCAGATATAAAACCATAAATTTTCGTTGTTTGATTAATACGACTGTACACTGATATGATAAATCTACTCAGAATTTTAGTATGCCAAACTAATGCATCGTTTTCTGGACGAAAAAGTAATCGAGAATAACTATGTTGGTATTTTCTTTTGATGTTTTGTGCAGATTAAAATACTACATAGAAAAGCACATTTTCATATATAATTTTAAAATGTACGACGGGTATTAATATTTTCATCAAACTATCGTTTTCTAAACATGCTCTGATTAAAAAATAATGTCAAGTATCGTGGAGAAAATGATGAGGCAAGAGGAAAAATTAAGTGAAAGCTATGACTAAGTGACAAATGACCACTTAATATAAGCTACCTTATAAATTAGTTTATTTTTTTTAATAATCGTTTGGATGCACATAAGGTAGCTTATTGATAAGCTACTTGAAGTAGTTTACAGCATCTCCGATGGTTATGCTATATTTTTTTAAATTGAGTAAAAACCTCTAATAATTACATTCAACTAACAAATTCAAAATTTATAGTATATATATATATAATTGTCAATTTTAAAATTTTCAATTAACATATTATATTATTTAATTTTTCTTTACTATCTTGTTTGCATTAATTAACATATTAATATTATTAGAAAATGGTTTTAGTTATGTTATTAGAAAATTGTTTGGCGATCTATTGTTGCCCGTTTGAGCTCTGAGTTTGCTATGAAAGATCTCGAGGATATCTATCATTTCTTGGTTATTTCAGTCCCTCATGATGCACATGGATTGTTTCTCTCACAATCCACGTATACAACTGATATTTTGGCACGGGCAAATATGAGTATTTGCAATCCTACGACCACTCACATAGACACTAATAGAAAGTTGGGTGCATCCTTTGGCCCACCTTTTGCGGATCCCACCCTCTATCGCAGTCTTGTAGGAGCTCTTCAATACTTGACTTTTACACGACCTGATATTTCTTATGTTGTTCAACAAGTCTTCCTCTTCATGCATGACCAGTTGGAACCTCATTTTCAGTCCTTATGTCGAGTTTTGTGTTACATCAGAGGGACTCTTTAGTTGGGATTAGATTTATCCCCGGCCTCCTCTAACCACTTGGTGGCCTATACTGACACGGACTGGGGAGGTTGTCCAGACACTCATGGGACCACGTCCAACTATTGTGTTTTCTTTGGTGACTCTCTTCTATCCTGGTCATTTTAAACGCCAAGCCATTGTCTCCCGCTCTAGTACAGAGGCTAAATATCGAGGTGTCGTGAATGTTGTCTCTGAAACTTGCTAGATACAACAAGATTCTCATAAAGAATAAAACGTATAAGTAAAATGAAGAAAGAGCAAACAAGATCCAACGACTAATTGAGGGACAAAATTTGGAGGTAGATGGCCAATTGTTGCAGAACTTATACAATGCAAGAGCCCTTACACGTATACAAGTTTGACAGTCCACATCTAGCTGATGTGGGATCCGAATACGTCCCTTGAGTCTATAGAAGACACTGACTCTGATACCATGTCAAGATTTATGGAACCCTTTTAAATCTCTCCTAAAACGAATCCTTACATAGCTTACGTGGGACTCCAATACCTCTATTTGAACCAAGGCTCTAATACCATGTTAAAATATATAGAACCACTTATATCTCTCTCTAAGGATGCGTTTGGTATCAAGACGAGATATAATAGAATATGACATGACAAAACAAATATAATGACCAATTTACCCCTGACTAATTATTTATATATTCTGATTAATTTTATAATTTACTAAATTATAATAAAATAAATATATATTTTTTTTATAATAAAACACATATAAGAACAATATTTCGAGGACAATAAAGTGAAAGAATATAAAATAGAATAAATAAAATCTAAAGAAATGAATAAAATGTAAAGCGCGAGGCGTATTTAATGTTTTAGAAAAACATTAGGTTTTATTTTAAGATTATACTGATAAAATATAGGTTTGTTCACTCTGTTTCATGTAAAAATGTCTTACAAAAAGTCACAGGGGCTTATAATTGAACTTCCATCTCTTTTTTCTAAGCAAATAGACTCTTTTGATAATTGTAGAAACATAAACACTTTTGTGTGTTTGATCTCGCTAACCAAGATCAAATCTAAGCTAAAAACTATATATAAGAACACATAAACTAAAAACCGAAATCAAAGTGTTGGAAGATAAGGACCAGTTCCACCTTTCTTATCAGCATCACGAACACTAGAATAGCAGTAAATCCAGTTTGACATTTCCCAACCCCAATCTTGTCGCCTCGATACGTACATCTGCGGCCATCGGTTGATCCTAACATAATGCTCTCGGATTTTTCCATCTGCCAACAAACTTGTAACAATGGAGTAACAACTTTCATGGCCGCCCCAAACTTCGTCATCAGAATCAGCAGTTTGGCTCCCATCTGGATGGAAGTAACGATGCATTAGTGGCTCGGTCCCTTTCCAGTACGGGTCCAAATTACACCAGTATTCAGGGGCTTCCTAAGAGAAATGGAAGGACGGATGTTATGATCATCGGACACACTTGAAAACATATTTTTATTAAATGCATGATTTTCTGACAAATTTAAGAATATGTCTGCCTCACAAAAAAATGTATCACATGAAGTAGAAGTTACATGCCTTTTTGAAGTGAAACTCCCAAGCATGATCCCAAAGATCATTCTTCATGATTCGACTCTAATAAAGAACTTCAGTCAATAGAGAACTAGTATTGTTTATATGACCGAAAACTAAGATATATATATATATATATATATAGAGAGAGAGAGAGAGAGAGAGAGAGAGAGCGGTCGTGAGGAGAGACTTACTCGTTTTCCATCCGCAACCGATAAAGAGTAAACAGACAACTTTGACAACCCCTCGACTTGGGGAAACCGAGGTATATGAGCTTTGCCAACCCATAACTCTTCACACTACATATAAGCAACAAACTTACACAAATTCATAAAGTTGCGGTTATTTACTAACTGTCTAACTATCTCGTAACCGTTAATCTCTCCTATAAACATGTAAAACACTATATCTAGGGTGTGACATACTCGGATTTTCTGTCTTAATAAAAAACGAGAGTGACTTCTTGAATTATCCTAATACTGACTTGCTGAAACCTAAGCTATTAAAGGGTCGAAATACAGCATCCAAATGATTGTAACCACAAAAACCAGATTCTCTAACACTAAACAGTATCAAACATCAGTATACATACATATAACATATATATATATATATATATATATATATGTATGTATGTATGTATGTATGTATGTATAATACCTGTTTAGCCCAAATGGCATCACTTGAAGCAACTCTATACCATGTAGGCGAAACAAGAAGCGATGAAGCCACACTGCGTGCATCAAGGTGGCTGAATACCATTGACATGATATCACCACCACACATCACTAATGGGTCTTTTTTCTTCAATCTACGTTTTACCCTTTTCCTCTTCTTCACCACTCTTTCACTTTCCGATCTCTTCCCGTTATCATTATCATCATCATCTTCGTCTGCAGAGGGTTCGTACCCATCTTCTTCGGTCCTTTTTCTGGTCATGATTTGAAAGAATCTAGTGTTGGCATAAGAACCCAGATTGGATAATATAAATACATATATATATATATATATATATATATAACAAGAGAGAGAGAGAGAGTGAAAGGAAACTTGATTGGTAAGTAATGAAGATGAAGCAGGAGGTATGAGTTCGGTGTACGTAGTCATCATGTAGAATGCTTGGAGTTTTCCCTGTTTTGTTGTTGTGTTAACGAGGTGGTGATGCTCCTGCTTCTTTCTTATATATTAAACTATTCACTATATTACGTTTTTAGTCCCTCTCATTTGCTGATAGTTATTTTTTCTGATTAACCTGGATATCTAACCTGTTATATGATTAATTCCAGGACGACCACTTGTTTTATGAGTAGTCCGAAATCATTGTGCTTGAACTTTTGTGGCCACAAAAAAATGTATTACTTCTTGGATTTGAATTTGAAACCTTCAGATATTTTTTACTTTTGAAGACCAAACTAAAACCAATAAGACCAAAGTGGTGATGCTCCTGCTTCTTTGTTATATATTATAATATTCACTATATTACGTTTTTAGTCCCTCTCATTTGTTGATAGTTGTTATTTTATCGTCTCTATGGTTTTTTTTTTAAATCGTGGTTTTCGTCTTTACGATTTGAATTTTATTGCTGTTTTTGTTTTTATGGTTTACAATTTCTTACTATTTTTGTATTTCGTAATTAAAGGTATGAGTTAATCTAACAGATGAAAACCACAACAATTAAAATTTGTAATTTCGGAAACCACAAGGACTAAATCCTTAACTTTTAATAAATCATAAGGACTAAAAACGTAATTTTGAAGAAATATCTGAGAGGTCAATGGAAACAAGAAATACATGGACGTGGGTCCCACCAGTAATATCAGCTCCCGTCAATGGACCGTTGGTGGATTCACCAGCCAATGCTTTTTTTCTTTTTGATTTATTTTTAATTTTAGATATTTATGTAAATTAGCTCATATATACTCATTATTTTATTTACCCGATCAGTTTGATACACGATCTTCTTTAGGGATTTAGATTGAAATAAATTTGAAATCATTGGTCTGTTTGTTTTGTAGGATTTAAATGAAATTAGATTCCATTATTTATAAATAATTAGAAGGGTACTCGCATAATGCAACGAGATATATCTTTATTTTAATGTTTTGTTTTGTCTCTGTTGATATAATACGATTTATGTGGTTTTGAGAAATATAATGTTTTTATGATTTAGTGAAGTAATTTATTTTTGGCTTAACAATAAAATTTTATAAAAACAATGATGCTGTTAGAACTCAATGATTATCTTAATTATATTTTAGATTTTTTTATATTTAAAATGAAATGTGTTTATCATGTATTTGATTATGTTTGTCTACAGATAGTTATACGAATTAAAAAATGGAGATTTAATAAGTTGTACTTACGCATAATTTACTTGTAATCTTAAATTTTAAGTAATATATATTAATACACAATACTTCATGCATAAAGAATGATTTTTAAGAATTTTTGTCAAATGTTTTATAATATAATATAGATAGATCATGTGTTTTTAAGAAATGAATAATGATTTTATTTTTGAATAAAATATAAATTTGAAAATAAATATATCAACTTTAATATCAAATCAACTATTTAAAAGTTTTCATGTTTTACGTAATTTTTTTAATTTATTTTTTTATTATAATTTCATTTAAGTTTAATAATGAAATAATTTATTTTTGGTTTAATAATATAACATTTTATAAAGATAATAATTTAGTATTCTGTTAGAACTCAATAATTATCCTAATTATATTTTAGATTTTTTATATTTAAAATGAGATGTTTATTCTGTATTTGATTATGTTTATTTGCAGTTAGTTACACGAATTCAGATATAGAGTTTTATTAAGTTGTACTTACGCACAATCTACTTGAAATCTTGAGTTTTAAGTAATATGCATTAATAAACAGTACTTTACGCATAAAAAAATGGTTTTTAAGAGTTTTTATCAAATGCTTATAATATGGTATATATTTATACAAAAATTATAAATAATTATAAAAAATAATTAAATTACATTTTTATTAATCAATTATTACTAATCAAATGTTTTTTTTAACATTTTCTAAATTCTTATTTCATACAATCATATGAAATCTCGTGAAATCTCGAGCATCTCCTAAGGATTTCAAAATCATATGTTTGTAAGATTTCAATTAAATCATAAGATTTCAAATCCTGACAATCCAACAAACCAAACATGAGATTGAAATGAATTTAAAATCCAAATTCCACAAACCCATTTCATTCCTACAAACCAAACGGGGTCTGAGTGATAATTTAAATGGTTATTGGTCAACACTATATGGAAAAAAATATCTCTCTCTCTAATCATGCAGAGGTCTATAATTATTTTTATTTATTAGCATAAATTTATTTGATTGCTATTTTTATTCATGTATTTATGTGATTCATAGATACATGTGATGGTAAAATTTGGGACAAAATAGTGTTACTAATGGCGTTTAGCCTCTAAGATGTCAAGAGTTCAGACCTCATAAAAGAGAGAAATACATGCAAGTATTTATTATGCATGAATATTATATAATTAAAATAAAATACTGATAAATTAGATAGTAAATATAAAATGGCTTAAAAAGACTATTGAAAAATTATCTAATACTAACATTATATAATAATATTAATATATTTCATCATATTAAAAATAAGCAATAACAAAAGTAAAAGTTTCTCATTTGATTAGGCCCCTATATATGTGTATATATATATTAGAAGGGTACTCGTACAATGCAGCGAGATAAATCTTCATTTTAATGTTTGATTTTTATTATTTGTCTTTATCGATATAATACGATTTTATGTGGTTTTGAGAAAGCGGTAATGTTTTTATTTTTGAATGAAATATAAATTTGAAGATGACATAAATTTAAAAAAAAACGATATTAGTATCAAATTAACTATTTAATAGTCTTCGTTTTTTTGGTATAACTTCTTTAATTTAATTTTTAATTATAATTTAATTTAGATTTAATAAAAAAGTAATTTATTTTTGGTTTAATTTTTTTTGTTATAAAGATAATAATTAAACATTATGTTAGAACTTAGTGATTATCTTAATTATATTTTAGATTTTATATATTTAAAATGAATGTTTATCCTATATTTGATTATGTTTATACGTAGTTAGTTACACGAATTTAAAAATTGAGCTTTAAGAAGTTGTACTTACACAAAATTACTTGTAATCTTGAATTTTAAGTAATATACATCAATCAACAGTACTTCATGCATAAAAAACGGTTTTTAAGAGTTTTTATCAAATGCTTTATAATATAGTGTATATATATGTATATCGTATTTGCAAATATTATTATGAATTTCTTGTTTCTCATCTCATGACATGACTTTCATAAAAATTGCATTAAAATGGAATCAACTTTATTCTTATTCTTACTCTAGAAATGATGATGTGGAGCTGATAATATCTGACATGTCCTTTTTTTTAATATAAATTTAAATTACATGTCATTACTTTTTAAAACATAAATTAACATTCACTCCCTCCCTCCCTCCGGCTCCCGCGACTAACGACTACACCTTTCTGACCACTATACATCTTCGACGATTGCTTTTACATTCGACTACACCTCCAACGACTACCCTCAAACTACAAGTTGGTTTATATGTTGAATGTGTGGGTGAACACTGAACAAGAAACGGGTAGAGGTGGTGTGAAGAGAGTTGGATTTTTTTCCTCCTTCCCTACAGCTTCTGAACTCCTAGCTTCTCCAGCGACTACATCTCTCCGACGATTGCTTTTTGGTTTTTTCTCTCGAAATGCATCTCACTTTGAGATAGGTTGAGGTGGTGTGGAAAGAGAGTTGGAAACGGATCTGATGGAGATGAGTCAAGACTGCAGAGAGACGAGATATCGTTACCGGAATTAATGGTGATTTACAGTCGCCGAAGTTGGGGTGGGTGCCTGCAACCACCGTCGAAACTCGAAAAGGTTTGAAGGTAAAAGGCGATGTTAGCGGATCGTGGGTTAGGATCTAGCCTTTTTGTTCCACCTTTTTTTGTTTTGGAATTATTTTTTCATTAAAAATGTTAGATATTCATTTAAGTTTTAGTTTTTAATTTTTTACCCCGTTTCTTAAATAAATGAAAAGTTTGTCTTACACCCTAAAATGTTTGAAAATTGGTTCACCAAAATAGGAATAAAATGTAATATACTCGTTAGCTAAAATATTATCAGCGTAATTAGAAAAAATGGAATACACTTATCAACATAATTAAAAAAAATGAACAAAAAACTCATTGAACTTTAGCTTACGGTTTATCCAACGGTATTTTTTAATAAGTTAAAAAATAGGTTAGGTTATTCTCGACAAACATGGCTTTAATATATTAAATATGATTATAAAAAGGTTCTTATTAATAAACTAATTATATAAAATATTTAAAAGGTTGTAAACAGTTTGAACAAAATGCGACGAAGTTTGTCTTAGTTAATTTTTTTAACGGAAAAAATTCTTTCTCAATCAATATAATAAAGTATCAATTTTTTTATTCAATGTAACATAGTTTCAAAATTTCCTATTTTTCATCCATTTTGCCCAATCACACCTTGTATCAGCCATGAGAACCAAAACAAATCAAACAGAACTCGATATATCTCACTCAAAAGTAAGGGGATGGGATGCATGAAGACCTGACCTCTGTCTCGAAGGGTGGGATAGTTGTTTCCATGAAGACTCCGGTCCCAACCACAAGGGTTGCAGCATATTGGTTGAGCTCCAGGGGATGTGGTGGAATATCTCATTTGTCCTTGGTTCAATTCCAGTCGTCCACAATAATTGTGGCCACTAAATTAGGACTGATGTCTTACCGACTCAATTTGCCGGAATTAGTCTGAACATAGCTCGGGATCCTTCCAAAAAACGACTCCGGCCCCTTGGATCAGCAATGCTTAGGCATAAAATTTATCAAACAAACCTGGGATATATAACTTAAGAACAAATACACACATGCATTTACATATTCATGATTGTATGAATATGAGAACAATGGTGGAATCAAGTATCACCATCTGAGTGTATGTTACAAGAGAAAGGTGAAATATGAAAGTTGATCACATGTTTTACTTTTCCATTTTCTTGAGGAATCAGCAGTATGCATCTGCTCAAGAAAGTTATGTACTTTTCAGCTGGATACAACTCTTAATGCCCATAGTACAACATACCCCAAGCACAAGTTGACATATATTAACAAATAAACAACTGCAATTGCATCCATAAGGGAATTATCTTCACTGATCTGTGTCTTGCATAAGAGAGCTTGAGATGAACTCTCCAATAGCTGCTGCTGGTTGCAAGATTCATCTGATATTTGCCACTCCATACCTGTTCTTGAAGAGCTCTCAGAGTCAGAATCTCCACCAGAGAATGTTTTCCAGTCTTTATGGAATTCAAGTTGTATACCGGAGCTGAAATAGATCCACTGAAACTTATTGCTGGTTTTCTTTCACCGATTCAATGGCGAATTTGAATCAGAGAGCACATAGCCAACGTGATGGATGCAATCATGTTCCACGCAACCCAACACAGATATTTGGATCAGTATCCATCATCTCTTTGAAGATCAAGAGTATCAATGGGAGTTTGGACCAGAATGAAATGACAAAATACCAAAAAGACCCTGATCAACGGCAACATGATATGCTATGTGCAAAAGCAAGAAAATTGGTGGGTTTGTGGAGGAATGGAGGTAAAATGGTACATTAGAACCCAATAACTTTTTGGTTCTCTGGTGAAAGAGGAAAACTTGGATTCCAGTTCCTGAGACAACCCTAGATTGCCAAAAGCAACGGAAATACTTTCTAACAATCAAAATATGAAGGTTCCTTCTGTACAATGTGAAGACCAGAAGGCCAATATATTAGCTCTTCCGAGTTCCGACTACCCTGTGGGATTAGGAAGTTTATGAACATCCCGAGGTTATAGGAGAAAATGAAGAATTCAGAGGGTGAAACACATCCTTGCCCTTTTGTATTTTACTGGACAACACCTACAAACCAAGCCAAACTAGTAAAATCTCCCTCAGAGGTAGGGCTGGGGAGAGTGGGATGTACGCAGACCTGTCCTCTATCTCAAAGAGTAGAACAACTGTTTCCATAAAAATCCCTGACTTGCGACATGTGTGTGAGAACAGAAGCACGAGAGACAACAAAGGAAGATACGTCAAAATTTGAAAAAGAGAAACCAAGGCTAGCAAGGTAGTTAGACACCTACAATTATACAAACTTAACCTAAAAAATGATTTAGGTTAAGGGCAATGGATGACCTAGCTGAAAAAAAAGTTTTGTGGATGTATATTTTGGGTTGAGAAAAGTAGGCATGTTCTTGAGCTGTATTTGATGATCTTTAAAGTATGGATGATAGAGTGCATCAAAGTTTCCATGGTTTGGCAAGGGTTGGGAAGGGAAATCTTTGTACACAGTCTTTCGCTTGCATTTTGCAAGAGACTGTTTCCTGACTTGAACATGCGACCTTCCGATCACAAACGAGTGACCAAAAATTGAAGGAATGCAAATAGAACCACACCCTTACTCCAGTAAAAATTGGAGCCCTGGGTTATCAGCGATTTCAGGGGTAAGTTTTATTTCTGCAAAATCTTTCTCGTTGAGCGACTTATTAATTTCATCAACTGGGAAGGAAATGCTGCAAAAAGGAAAATAAGAATCAGTAACACTTCTTGAACATGGTCATTTGCTCATATTTTGACAAATTCATTGCTTGTAGATATACCCTGAATTGTCATCCAACAAATAGGAGTCACTATCAGGGTTGCCAGAGTCCTCTGTCATTAGAACTTTTAACTTGGAAATAACCTATAGAAATTGAGAGGGTGAGGAAGGATTACCAGGGAAAGAGAAAAAAAAAAAAACAAACGGACTCATTCAATCCAACACAGAGGTAAGGTCTTTTTCACCCCAAAGCATAGAGAGGTAATTTCCTTGAAGATTCCCAGCAAACAAATGGAAAATGAATAACAAACTATTATAGTTTTCTTCTTACTTCTGGGGGGACACCATTGGTGTCGTCATTGCCATTCGAATAGAGAGTGCAGATTTGGTAATGTTGTTGAACACTTAGAACCTGAAACCGAAAGTATCACTTATGTTATTACTGTAACTCTCTTTAAGTTAGACAAGAGGGGCATATGACCCATAGCACACAGAAGAAATGTAACCAAACAAAGGGGAGACTTACAGGACATAGAGTAGTTGTGAGATGATCATATGAAATTGTAGACTTCTGTTGTATAACCTGATAAAAAACAAAGAGTGTATAGAAACCCGGTTATATATGTTACTCATTTTTAAAAGAAATTAAACAGATTTTCCAGGACATTTAAACATAAGCCAAACGGAATCGGTAAAATATAGGTAGGGTGCCCCCTCCCCTCTACCCTGGGGTTTTTTCTGTGAAAACCCCCATCTTGCAAAACAATAACTAACAAAAACAAAAAATGCCCCCTCACATTGGTGTCCTTGGAGGCGGGTTCTGTGTGGGGCCATTTGGGGTTGCCGGTAATCAACTTTTTTCCCAAATAACTAACAGAAACAAGGTGTATAAACGAGCAATAGGTACAACAGACAGAAAACGCTTCAGGGACAAGCAGGGGAGAAACACAATTGTATAAATTATTTTATTAACTAAAAAATATTTTCTTCCCATAAGTTGTACATATTAATTATAAGTATAATTTTTTTAAATTGTATAAAAACATGTTTTCTAAATGGGTTATAGTGTCATGTAAATTAATGTGAAGGTTCTAGGTCCTAATCTTACTATTTCTGTTTTCATTTTCTTATAAAGCTTACTAGTAGATCATAGTCCAAAAACATAAAAACCAGTGATTTTATAGTTATTTTTCTATTAATATTTTGAGGGTTCTAAGTTTGAGTATTTCGTTAGCGAATTTTTGTTTCTATTTTTATTTTTTATAAAATTTATAGGTAGATTATAGTCCAAAAACATACAACAAATGATTGCATATTGCTATTTTCTGGGTCCCCGGATTCTTGTAATATCATTTTACAGCCCCGGAGGCTGTGATGTCCCCGTTCCGCCCTTGAGGATGGTGAGGAGAATGGGTTAAACAAACAAGGAAACACAAGCAAACTACTGCCAACTCAGCACATGAAGGCTAAGGGTCTATCTGTTAGCAGCTTAATGAGCTTAATGGGACTCGCAACTTATTCGGTCCGCTATATGATTGTTTGGTACTGGCTTGACGATATAGAAAATGGCTTATTCAGTAAGTTTCTAGTGGGGGAGTTTTATGCAGAAAGCCAAGTTTTTTCCATACTTGTCCCTCCCAATTAAAGTGGCTCGTGGCTTTCATATCTTGGTAAATAATTACGGTCCTTCCATTTATGAAGGAACCCTCCCAAACAAAAACCATCCCAATCTATACAGATAGATTAATCCACACAGGCAACTTTATATCCATACAGGACTTAATGGAAAACCATCCAAACAACCCCTTAGGTTAACATTGACCTAGTTGTATCTGGTAACCCAACCTTCCTAGAGATCAATGGTTCAAACCTCCCCAAAGTTGATGAGTGGGTGCGAGTTTCATTTGCTGTATATAAATATTACATACTTAAAAAAAAAAGGTTAGCGACAATAGTAGACATGAAAGGTAGGAAAAGCTAAGACAACCCTCTAAGCAAATGTTAACATATCTTCATTAACAAAACTTATGTTGCGTATGGTCCACGATAGGAAAGATGATAATAATAGCGAAAGCATAAATACCACGTAAACAAGTTCTGTTCAAAGCATAGAAAATTTCTGAATTATGATAAAAATTGTAACTGGAAAATGGAAAAGAGTAAGAAACATTGTTTTTTCACATACCAGAAATTCGACTGCCTGTCTTACATGCGTAAGTTCATCTGATGATGAGTCTGCATACTGATTCAATGAGTGGTTAGACCTACGAACTCTGGCTTCAAGAAATATAGTTAAGGCATCTAAATTAATGAGTACCTCTGCCGTGACCTGAGAACACCATTGCTCTAATTTTGCTAATCCTGCTTTCACATACTCCCCATATGTGATCGAACAACACTCTTTGTGTAGAAGAAGGCTGAGGTTGCAGGCAGAAAATTTACAATTTAGATGATATAACTAGTTTGGCATGATCAAATTTTCCAGTTAACAGAGTTGCTACCTGTTGAAAAGTTGTACATCGATATAGGTGTAAACTTGAGCAAACATCTTCCGGATAATGACAGATGGCACCTGAATTATGCCCGGCATGGTTAATTCAGGAGCACATAAATAGGAACTTCTCATCAATAACCTTATTATGGAAACTGAGATCACTTACATGGTATTCTTTTAATGTATCAAGCAGTTCATTTAGGCGTTCAATGATGTGCTCCCAGTAAAAAGTTGGATAAGGGTTACCATCTGATATCGTCGGTGCCTGAATTATTAAAAAAATTATAAAATTAGCATCATATGATGCCTGCTAATGGCAATAAAACTTATAAGATGGTCAAAGGCTATGACAGGAGATTGCATTTCATGATCCTTTACCAAAAAAGTTAGATATCTTCTTAAAGTTTCAATTTTACAGGAAGCACATGTGTGAATCGTCAATCATAGCATTACCTGGATTTGGATATAAGCCTGCCCCCGGGGAGCATCTTCAAGAACAAAAGCAAGAACACATAGACGTAATGGAAGAATTAACAAGAGTTGCGCTCAGTTTAAATTTAGAATTGTTCTTTCAAGCAGATTAACTTAGCATACAAAGGTGTTTACGTAACTCCTCATCAGAAGTTGTGCAGCACAATATATAAAACTACAAATATAGCAATATTGTATGAAAACGCATTATAGATCCAAGAACAGGCTTTTGAAGTAGTTTAGCTAATACTGTTTGGGATTGATCAAACAACGTATATAATAGTACCTGGATACATGAGGAGAGAAGTTGTGATAAATCCTTCTTCAGGTTGTTACGAATAAATCCATATATTTTGTCAACATAAGCAGCAAGTTGTTTCTTAAAAAGCAAAGCTGGGTACTTGGCCTCAATATGTTTCACTATGCCAGCATTGGAAGATGATCGAAATCCCTACAGATATAATGGTTGTTTTAATAAGATGCTATAAGAATGCATCCATGATGCAATGAAATCATAGTCTCCATCAGTCCACCAATTGTAAGTTTGTAACTAATGGAGATAAAAGATTCAAAAGTAAAAACTACTCCCTTATTTTCCAATATACAAGTGATTCATAGAGGAAAACCGGCTTGTAGTTTGGAATTGAAATTTTAGTTGAATGGTAGCCAGTGAAGAAGCAATACTTGGGTCATCCTTCCAAATAACGATGCAGGCTGCTGGGGTTTCGGAGGACTTGGACTTAAAGTCCTCTGAATCAAAAACATCAATGTAGATGTGACGCAGAGCCAATAAGACATATGCTTAACGTCTTCTTTTTTCTGACAGAAAGATGCAAGTTGATTCAGTGCCTATTTAACATAAATTAATAAATAATAAATGCAAATTGTAAAATACAAAACTTGTGTGGATCCTAAGCTTAATGTAAACATCTATACTTTCAAGGTCCAAGTATGTACCAAACCTGGCGATTGATAAGCACTATCACAGGTTAAAATTTTAGGGTCTTTACGGAAACAACCTCTCTACCCCTTGGAGTAAAGGTAAGGTCTGCATACATCATACCCTCCCCAAACTCCACCTCTGTATGGGATATATTGGGTTTGTTTGGTTTGATTTTTGATTTTATCTCAGGTTAAAATATGTGATCTCTTATCCATGAAAAGATTGTGTGATAGAGAGAGAGGGGAAACTTTTACCTTTTTAATTCATTTCCCCAAACGCAACAAAAAAGACACATATCTTTGATTACAAAATGCTGTATAGTTTCATATAACTATACTATCATCAACACCTATTGGTGTTCGCATCACATCATTCCACTTACCATGCCAACATGCTCCAGTTCCTTATTCCTATCTAATGGAATGCCTTAATTATCACTTACAAAATGCATTTTACTCTTTTTTTGTATTTTAGAAAGAGGTCTCTTTATGTTGGAATGAGGTGGTAAACATTATTAAATCCTTGTCAAATCAACAGGAGACAGGAACTCTCATATGTAGCTTTTGGCATATTTTCTTAAATAAATGTTGAATCTCTTTCCCATATTTGGGTGGAACTAAGTGAAATATAATCTAGAATAAATCTTGACGAGAACATCTCAAACGCTGAAAGATGAAGTCTTCAAAACGTCAACATCCATATATTACAGTGTAAGTATACAAAAAAGTGACAGCAGCTACAGCAACTTACCGTGCAGAAACATGAAAGATGTCCGAATTAAACATCTCACCTCTATTGCAGAACCCATCATCTGGATTATACGGTCAAATACGGTAGTTATATCTGCTTCAAAAGTTTTCCAGTGCAAAAGGCTTTTGTAAATGACATACGTAGCAACTGGTTTCCCTTGACAAAACCCAACATCTTCAGTAGCAACTTTCCTAAGAGCCTCAACCAAGTCCTGTATCACCAGTATAGAGAAACATACAACTATATCGTGTCATTTACCATCAAACTCCATCATGCTGCTGAGAAAAAATGGCTAGATCAAGTTGTAAATTGTTTTTCATGCCCATCATGTCCCACAGAAAGGTATATGACTCCACAAAGACAAGTAAGATGAGTGTAATTGCTTGGGTGTATTTATCCCGAAACAGTGCAATTAACAATAGAAAGGGTAAACTATGACATTTCTTCTTGATTCTACACTTAACTGGTGTGAAGAGTTATGGGTTGAAATATCAGTTTTCTATGTGACATGATTCCTTCACAAGTATTCACTTTGAAGTTGAACATGCCCCTTCTGCCATATAGTTTTGAGGTCAATTCCTCTTTCTAACTTCTTTTCTACCGGTTGAGACAAAGTCACGTATGACGAAGAAAAAATTAGCCTAGGTCTTATCTCGAAAGAGTCCATTACCGGGACTATTAAAACGATATTTCACTCGAAGCAAAGCCTTCTTTTTCATTGTGTTACTTTACATGCAGAGCAGGATCTGGTGTCTGATTGGAAATCATCCAGTTTGTAAATCATCCCCAGTACCTTTTTCATTCCCCCCCCCCCCAAATTTGTAAATCATCCCTAATACCTTCAAGCAATATAAACAAAGCTTCATACAAACACAATAAATCTCATCGGAGTTCTTATGTTCATCTATCCAGGTCCCTTCTCAAGCATTTTCTAGCTGATTTTGGTACTTTTCAGGGGCCAAAGTACAAATGCTGCACAAGTGGTCAAGGCATAAACAATAACACCGCAACATAAAGCGCCCCTAAAACATTTCAGTAGTTTCTCTATTTAAAAGTCAAACAATTTAAGGTGTATGTCATTAACCTTGTGGGAAAGAAAAGCAGCATGCAACTCTAAATAAATAGAAGTATATATAATGGTATGTGAGTGGAATATATCGACTGGAAAGAAAAAGATCTCTAAGTGGAATAGAGTTGCATTCAGAAAAACAGTGTCTTGTGCCCTCAATTTAGTATTTAACTCTGAATATGCATTTGTGCACGGCAATAACTTAAGTTGCCTAACAATGAAAATTAACACATTAGAACAACTATGTTCCCATTATGCATATTGAAAAAGATAGGGCAAATTAAATTGAAAAAACCAAAACAAAATTAAAATATACGAATAAAAGATCATGTTAAGAAACGTACACGCTCCCTTCCTATAGTGGATTGCGTCAAGTTGCTATCAAATTTCTTTGAAGGTGTGCCACTCTGTCGTTCCTGCAAATTAAAGGCTTGTCTTTTAGCTTATTTAAAAAAGTAATGCGGACAAGCATCTCGAAAAGCTATAAAGTTTGGATTTGATAATGGCCTTAAAAAGCTATTCAGCATCCTATTAAACTAATAACAATATATATTCAAAATAAGTCCTCAATAAGACTATGATATACACTTTGACAAGTTAACCATTGAAAATGAGAGTGAGAAACATCCAGATAGCCTTTTTGACATATGAATTAGCTGATTTCGGCATCACCTTTTGTCTCAGAATCTGGTCCTCAGCTTCCATGTCAGAAATCTTTTCTTGAAGACTAAAGAATAAGGTGGGAGAATCACAAAAGCATATGACCAAGCAAGTTACTTCTTCAGCTTCAAATAGTGAAATAATAAAATTTTCATGAAGCAAAGAATTGGAAATGGTAGTCGAAGTATGATTATACAACCTTTGCATATCAAGTTTCAAATCAATTATCTTTGATTCTGCATCCAAAGCCTGAATCAACCTATCTTCACTCAGTTTGCTGGTCTCTTCATATTTCTTCTGTGTTTCATCAAGTTCCTGTTCCAATAAATTAACCTTCTCCTGCAAGTGTTCCAATACCATGAAATGAAACAAAAACATATTATGGAAGGTTATAATCATCAAGGCCTCGTAAAAAAGTAAACATTGATACAATAAGCCAGGAAGAGACATGCTAAGGCCTCATAAAAAAAGTAAACATTGATTCAATAAGCTAGAAAGAGACATGCTAGACTTCAAACCAACCTTGAGTTTTTCATTATCAGTAGTAAGATTTTCTATTTTCTCATTGTCAGTAGCACGAAGTTGCTCCATTTCTTTCTGTGCAGCCTCCAGCAGCTCTTTAGTTTCTTGGAATTGACCTTCCATCTCTTTTAAAGAAGATTGCAGTTGTGTAATTTCCTTATTTTTAGTGTCCTCCATATCAGCCTACAAAATTTGAATGCAAATAAATAACAAAAAAAGGTTAAAATTAAAGTCTTTCTTTCTGTATACTCTTATTTCATGTTTTGAATATCAAGAAATGGAACTAGTTTTTGGAAAGTTACAGAGCACCAATTGGACTTCCATCTCCTTTAAAGCAGACTGCAATTTTGCATTTTCCTTATCTTTAGCTTCCTCCATATCAGCCTACAAAATTTGAAAGCAAATCAAACAAACAAAACGAAATTTGCATTCTGTAATATCTTATTTCATGTTTTGTATATCAAGAAATAAAATAAAGCACATTGTTAGAAAGTTAAGGAGCACCATGCGAGTTTCCATCTCCTTTAAAGCAGACTGCAGGTCTGAGATTTCCTTTTCTTTAGCTTCCTCCATATCAGCCTACAAATTTTGAAAGCAAATCAAACAATTAAAATACTAACAGAAGAAAAAAAAAGGTTAAAACTAAAGCTTTGCTTTCTGTAATCTCTTATTTCATGTTTTGTGTATCAAGAAATAAAATAAAGCACGTTGTTAGAAAGTTAAGGAGCACCATGCGAGCTTCCATCTCCTTTAAAGCAGACTGCAGATCTGAGGTTTCCTTTTTCTTAGCTTCCTCCATATCAGCCTACAAATTTTGAAAGCAAATCAAACAATTAAAATACTAACACAAGAAAAAAAGAAAAGGTTAAAACTAAAGCTTTGCTTTCTGTAATCTCCTATTTTATGTTTCGTGTATCAAGAAATAAGCATGTCAGAAAGTTAAGGAGCACCAATTGAACTTCCATCTCCTTTAAAGCAGACTGCAGGCTTGAAGTTTCCTTGTTTTTAGCTTCCCCCATATCAGCCTACAAAATTTAAAAGAATCAAACAATCAAAAACAAATAGCAGGGAAAATATAAGAAGTCAAAACTAAAAAACTTTGCTTCTTGAAATCTCTTATTCATGTTTTGTGTATCAAGAAATTAAACAAGTTGTTAAAAAGTTAAGGAGCACCAATTGAACTTCCATCTCCTTTAAAGCAGACTGCAGGTCTGAAGCTTCCTTATTTTTAGCTTCCTCCATATCAGCCTATAAAATTTGAGGGCAATCAAACAATTAAATTACTAACAAAAGAAGAAAAAAAAATTAAAACTAACTAGTTTTGCTTTCTGTAATCTCTTATTTCATGTTTTGTGTATTGGAAATAAAACAAGTTGTTAGAAAGTTAAGGAGCACCAATTGATCTTCCAACTCCTTCAATGCAGCCTGCAGTTTTGCACTTTCTTTATTTTTAGCTTCCTCCATATCAGCCTACAAAATTTGAGCGCAAATCAAACAAACAAAAGAAAAAAATAAGTTAATGTAATCTCTATTTCACGTTTTGTGCATCAAGAATTAAAACAAGTTGTTAGAGAGTTACGGAGCACCAATTGAACTTCCATCTCCTTTAAAGCAGACTGCAATGTAGCAATTTCCTTATTCTTAGCTTCCTCTGTATCAGCCTACAAAATTTGAAAGCAAATCAAATAATCAAAAACAAACAAAAGAAAATAAAAAGTTAAAACTGAAGTTTTGCTTTCTGTTATCTCTTAGATCATGCTTCATGTAATAAATAAAACAGGTTGTTAGAAAGTTGTGAAGCACCAATTGAACTTCCATCTCCTTTAAAGCAGACTGCAGATTAGCATGTTCCTTATTTTTAGCTTCCTCCAATTCAGCCTAGAAATTTTGAGAGCAAATCAAATGGTCAAAAACAAACAAAAGCAAAACAAAGTGAAAATTACAGTTTTACTTTCAGCAATATCTTATTTCTTGTTTTGGGTATCTAGAACCAAAACAAGTTGTTAGAAAGTTACCAATCACCAATGATATCCAACTCACATATATTAAATAGCTAAGTGTACAATCTTTTTTCAAGTCAAGAGAATCCATAAAAGACCACAACATATAGAAGTTTATAGCAGTTGTTAAAACTGGTACCATGTTAGGTATAATCTCATATCACGTACAGAAAATATGTAATAAAATGCAGCCAAGTCAAAATATAGCCATGTCCAAGAAAAATGTCTCGGCAATAATGAAAATGAACCCCCATCTTGAAAGCTGATACTTGAAGGAAGATGAAAGTGATATTTTCATTTAGAACACATAAGAAATAATCTAGTGTGTCCATCATTCCCACAATTGTGACGCCAATTTTATCCCAAACTAGATCTATCTAAGACCTCCTCTTGCCATTGTTCTCTTCATCTGACTGGTGCATCAAAAGGCCTATGTGCAAAACATATAACTGATAAAATCAACTCTGCTCAAAGTTTCAAAAATTACAAGTCTTCAGATGATGGAAATACATGTATGCAATAGTCATCTAATTAAGTACTGCTGCCACTTAACGACTGAATCACAGCCTAATTAAGACTGCAGGATCTAGGAGACTAGGACCATATATTTCAGAGGCTTATTCCATAGGTTTTAGCTTGTGAATCCGTTTTTGAATAAACGAAGCAAACTTATTGCTGTGCCAAGGCTTCCCCGCATATAAAATCTAATTCATAAGCAGGCTCACTCCCATATATGCATGAAAAAGTTGGAGCTTTTTGCCAAGGGTTTTTTCAATAATGAGCCGCTAACCCAATGCTTTTGCTTCCTATTGAAAAATTGTGCAAAATGAAAAATCTAGCAGTCAATCAGTTGAAAGTTGGAGGAGAGAAGAGGCTAAATCTAAGAAGACGAGAGGTTAGCAAAGAAGGAAAATGTTCCATTTGACTTCCATTTATAATGCTCCTTCCTTCTGCAACTGCAAGGTTGACTTGGCACACAGTGTTAGCATATTGATAACTGACAAGAAAGATGAATTGAATAATGATATTTCACTCTCTCCTTTGATTATACAAGATCCTATATATAGGGTATTTACAAGAGATAAAGGGAAACTAAATCAAAGAAATAAAGAAAAAGATATAGAAAAGATAATGATAAAGAAGGTAACAATATCCCATAATTATAAAAACTATATTCCATTATTATAGGGATTCCTCCTGATCTATAATATGTACATTTCGACACCCCCCTCAAGTTGAGAAATAGATGTCTTCTATTCCCAACTTACAAATAAGACCATGAAAGCTCGAACAGTTTAGGCCTTATGTTAGAACATTAGCTAGTTGACTCTTTGAGGGCACAAAGCATATGCACGCTAATCCTCCTTCCAGTTTCTCTTTAATGAAATGCCGATGTATTTCAATATGCTTTGTCCTATCATGTTGAACGGGATTATGAGCAATATTGATAGCAAACTTGTTGTCGCAATAGAGCTTCATAGGACCTTCCCATTTGATTTGTAAATCATTTATAATAATTTTCAACCATAATAACTCACATAATCCATGAGAAATGGCCCTAAACTCTGATTCTACAGAAGACCTTGCCACCACATTTTGCTTCTTGCTTCTCCATGTCACCCGATTACCTCCAAGGAAAATGCAATATCCTAAGGTCGATCTATAATCCAATTTAGAACCAACGTAATCAGCATCGGTGTAGGCTTCGAGAGTAAGAGTTTCATTCTTCTTAAATAGAATGCCCTTCCCTGGATTACCTTTCAAGTAATTTAGTACCGTGTACTTGTGTAGGCTGCTTGAAGATGAGGTTATCTTGGATCGTGCATGAACTGACTAATTGCACTCACCGAGTAAGCTATGTTTGGCCGAGTGTGAGCAAGATATACCAATCTGCCAACCAACGTTTGGTACATTCTCTTGTCAACCAACGGTGCTTCTTTAGCTTCACCCAACTAATGGTTCTGGTCAATTGGTGTAGATACAGGCTTACACCCACTCTTTCCTGTTTCTATCAATAAATCGGTCACATACTTCTGTTGAGTTATGAAGATCCCTTGCTTGGAGTATGCCACCTCAATTCGTAGGAAGTATTTAAGTCTTCCTAATTCTTTTATCTCAAATTCTTTCATCAACCTTTCCTTTAATCCCATCTCTTCCCCTCTCATCATTTCCTGTAACTATGATGTCATCCACATAGACAAGGAGAGCAGTTACTCCCCCTGTCGACGAGTGCTTAATGAAGAGAGCGTGATCCCCTTGACTTTGTTTATACCTGGACTCCTTCATGACTTTTGCAAATATCCCAAACCCTGCCCTAGGAGATTGTTTCAATCCGTAAAGTGCTTTTCTTGGCTTCCACACCTTATTACCCGTATCAGCATTGAAACCTAGGGGAATACTCATGTATATTTCTTCATTTAAATATCCATAAAGAAAGACATTCTTTACATCATACTGCAAAAGTTTCCAGCCTAGGTTAGCAGCTAATGATAATAGAATTCTTACGGTGTTCATCTTTGCAGCAAGAGCAAATGTCTCTAGGTAGTAGTCAACCCCATAAGTTTGTGTGTATCCTTTGGCCACTAACCTTGCCTTATATCTCTCAAGGGATTCATCAACATTGTATTTTGTTGTAAAGATCCATTTACAATCAACAATGCTTTTTTCCTTTCGGCTTATCAACAATCTCCCATGTTTCATTCTTCTCTAATGCACTCATTTCCTCCTTCATAGCATCCCTCTATTCCCTTTTTGATAATTCCTCATAGACATTGGTAGGGATAGAAATGGTATTTAGACTCATAATGAACTTTATGTGGGTTGGGGATAGGCGTTCAAGAGAGACATAGTGAGATAATGGATACAATGGTTGTTTAGAGCATTCTCTAGTTCCTTTTCTTTTTGGCAATGGGTAGATCATCTTCGGTATTGGTGGAAGCATGTTGTGTGTGTAAAGGTGAGTTAGCTCTTACCGTGTTCTCATTCCCAAGACTTAAGTCATAGTTTTGGACTTGCGTTGGCGTAGGAACGACCTTTCTTCTTGTATACACTTGAGAAGGATTTGGAGAATTGTTGGAGATATCTGGCTCATTGGATGGTTCAGGTTCATTTAGAGGGGTGGATGACTCAGATGCGACTTGTTCCTCATCTACGGACTCTGATGTGGAGTCAACACTACGAGTTGGGAGGTCAAAGTTTTTTGAGTGGTTCAAAAGTTTCAGAAGGACTGTCTTCCATCATTGAATTCTCCCCCTAAAGAGAGGACTTGGAGAAAAAAGGTTTGTTTTATGTGAAAGTGACATCAACAGAGATGTAGAATCTGTGGGATGAGGGATCATAACATTTGTACCCTTTTTGAGTGGATGAGTAACCAAGGAAGACACACTTAATGGCTCGAGGGTCTAGCTTGCTTCTATGTTGGTTGTGGCTGTGAATAAAGGTAGCACCCAAAAATCTTGAGACCATTTGATGTTCTAAAGTGAGGGTAGAAGTCATTAAGAAGTTCCATGGGAGTTTTATTTCCCAATGTACGTGAAGGAAGCCTATTTATAATGTGTGCAGAAGTAAGGACAGTTCCCCAGGATTTAGGAACATTTCCCTGGAAAACCAATGCTCGGGTAGTGTCAAGTAAATGACCATTTTTTGTTTCAGCTACCCCATTTTGTTGGGGTGTTTTAACACATGAAGAATCATGGATAATGCCTTGTGATTGAAAGTAGGGTGATAAAATCTGGTTGAAATAGTCCTTGGCATTATCGGTCCTAAAACTCTTTATTTTGACCCCAAACTGGTTTTCAATCATTGAGTCGAAGTTAGATATAACAGTGCTAACTTCAGAATTTTGTTTAAGGAGGAAGAGCCAAGTAACCCGAGTGCAATCATCAATTAGATATACAAACCAACGAGCCCCAGAAACATTAGGTATGTTAGAAGGTCCCCATATGTCATAGGAAAAGAAACGCAAGTATATTTGGCCAATTCGCAAATATCACAATGAAACTCATAAATATCTAATCCTTGAAATAGATGAGGAAACATGACATTTAAAACTCTAAAGGATGGGTGAAATAGACGCATATTAGATGAACTGAGAAAGGATGAAGGTGGAACGTTGCTTTTCTAGGAAGATTCAAGATGATAAAGGCCATTCCTTTCCTCAGCAAGTCCAATCCTCTTCCTCAAGTGTTATTCCTGAAAAACACAATATGAAGAGGAAAAAATAGCACAACATTTAAGATCATGGGTGAGTTTTTGGATTGAAACAGGGCTGGTTGACAGTTTTGTAGGGATTCCTCGAGGAAGAGTCAAAGAGGAAGTTTTTGATGACTTTTCTAGAAAACCCAAAAAATCCATGAGTTGACAAAAAGTTCGTTCAACCAAAGGAAATACAACAATTAAGGTTGTTCGATCAGAAACACTTGCAACGATGAAAGTTGCACACTGAGAAGAGCAATTAAGGCTGAAATAAAATAGAACAACGATTTTAATTTTTTTTTTCAGAGAAACCTAAAGCTCTGGTGGGACAAGAAAGATGAATTGAATGATGATATTTCAATCTCTCCTTTGATTATACAAGGCCCTATATATAGGGTATTTACAAGAGATAAAAGGGAAACTAAATCAAGGAAAAGATACAGAAAAGATAATGATAAAGAAGGTAA